GGGCTGAGGGCAGTGGGTTGTGGTAGAGCATGGAGGGGAGTAGCAGGGAACTTGCTGTGCTCATTGCTTTAACTTCATACTGAGCTAACATGGTTGACAGCATCCTTTCCTGGGATGGGAGTTTGAGGGAGGGGTGGCAGAGGTGGGGGTTGGGTATTGGTGGGATGTAGAAGGAGGGAAGCTGACAGCTACCTTACACCTCACCCTTAACATGCACTACAGTGCGCTGACAGTGCCCCTCTTCTGCTTTTCCTCTCGTGTCATTCCATTTCAGTCACTGCGCTCTTTTAGACCGAGTCATTATTGTAAGCTTATGACAACATACAATGTAAGTGAGGAATGTTTGTATTCAGACTCGTTTGTTTCCTGTAACATCAGCACTTGCGGGGGATTATCTGCAAGCAGTAGACTCTTAGTTTGTGTGTATGTTTTGTTGTCTCTTCCTCTTTATATCAAAGCAGAATAAGGTGTTGTTAGGACAGTAACAACATAGTGCGTCATTTAGGCCTTTGGTATCAGGCACTGTGTATTACAAATGCCGTTAAATTAATAGACCACCATATTTCAGCATAATCTTTGCTTGCCACATTTGGAACATACAGTCAATTACCATGGGCAATGATTTTGATTTGAAAGTAGAAAAAAATAAACAGAAAATCTGTTGAATCAAACCACAGTCATAATAAAAGCCAGTGGGCAGATGCTAAGACACCTTCCCACTGACTGCGAAAAATGGTACCTCAGCATGTGATATCATCTTAAATCTAATTAATATGTCTAATAGTTCCCATTATGTGATTGTTGTAAGAATATCGTAAGTCTATCCAACCTGTTTCTAGACATTTTTCATCCAGTGAAAGTATAATAATGGCAGATACTTTTGCTTGTTTCAAACAATTAAACAGGTTAAGTAATTATAATCAACATGTTTTTACTTGCCACAATATTTTTTGCAGTGTCATAAATGTGTTTTAAGTCAAAAGGTTTTCTGTGTTTATTAAGTGCAGGGAAATTATTATCTGCCATAACCAACTGTATGCTACAGATGTGGCAGGCAGAGATTGGGTTTAAGAAACGGTGGATTATTCCTTTAGGCAGGACTGCAGAAGGTTGTTTTGAGTTGGGCTGCTGAAATTTTAAGTGGCATATTATGCAAAATGAAATGCAAGTTTTTTCTTCATTTGAATTTTTTGGACTATTTGCATTTAACAGAACATGTCACAATGTGCTAGAAAGCGTCAAAAGGCAGCAATATGCATATATTACTGACACATCAAACTGCTGATGCACACTCTGCTCACTCTGATCTCTCTCCTTCTGGATAAACATTATGCAAATGAGCTAAGCAGTGGCCAATCAGATTGTTGATATGTGGCATGGTAATTGACTGTGTCATGCCCGTAGTCAAGCTGCAGGCTGAGATTTAACATTCGAACACACACCGAGTGGGAGAAATAATGGTTGAAAAAAACTCATGCGTTCAAAAAGTGGGAGATGATAATGTTAGATATTTTTTGAAGTTTAAAAAACAATATTAGGCCACTAAGCATTGTGCGGCTACTACAGCTTTTGGAAATATGTAAACAAAACATAAAAAAATACACAATTTCAAATCTCCACCATAAAGCAAGCAGACATATTCATTTATTTTAAAGTTGAGTTTCTTTATTTTGTTTTTATTATTTTTAGCAGTTGCAGTTAAACAATCCTGAAATTCCACATATAAGCATTTAGGTGTACATTCAAAACCTACCCTCATGATTTAACTCATCAGTTATGTATGATGGGCATATATCTTAGGAATTTCCCTAGGAATTTGAAAACTAAATGCTATCTTGCATAGTCAACCTTAGCACTGTTGTAATAATCTAGTCCCTGGGATATTTCAGACATCTGAGTCATTATTAGACTCAGACGGCTTATGAAAGCATAAAAAACACGTTAGTACCATTAGTCTGCAGGTACTTGTTTTTACCTGTGGGGATGTGATTATTTATTAGCAGCAATCTCTTTGTTTGTGCGTATTTTATGTTGAACATCATGGAAAAGCCGTGGATCAGTGACATCATCGCAAGGCACAGCACCAGTGACATCACCACAGGACAGAGAGCCAGGCCCCAGAGAGTCCAGAGCAGTAGTTCATCAAGCCATAAAAGCTATTTTAATCTAAAGGGACACTCTCTGCTAAATGGAATGAAATATACCAGCTTGCTAAGTGTGCCTGAGTACGAGAGTGCATGTGCGTGAGTGACTGAAGTTCAGCTTGCTTCATTAAGCGTCCACTGAAACAAACAGCCATTGCCATATCAGTTTGCGTTTCCACTACACAAACAAACATGCTTTTCCCCCAATTTCCTGCCTTCTTACGTCAGCTTTATTTGCCATATAACTCACAGGGCCTCTGTAGCTGAAATGCAGAGTGGTGCAGAGGCTCTCTCTCAGGAGCTGGATTTAGCCTGAGGTTAAGCGGTGGTACCACATGGAGCATTCGCAGGGCCACACAACTACTTTGCTGGGCATGAGGCTGGTACTTTAAGTCTCTGAGGTTGGGGACTGCACATAGCATGCATTCCAAGCATTTAACTAATAGGGCAAAGACACAAGCATAAGTTTCAAATGTTCCCTCGAAAATGGGGAAATTTTTGCTTCTAATAGAAAGATACGCCATTACAGTCACTATACCAGAAAACATTTTTTCTTTCTCAGATACTTCAGCAGAGTAGAATAACTGAATTTTACATGGTTTGGACCAGAGGTTGGGCCTCATTCACCAATATCTTCCTATGTTTTTTCTTTAGTTTGTTCTTAAGAAAGGTTCTAAGAAAAAGTCTACATCGCATTCATGACCCCAAACCCCAAATAAGAAAACACTGGTGAATGTCAGAAACTGTGTAAGAAGAAATTTATTTTTAATGTCGCCGAATGAGGCCCGTTGATAGTAGCCTAACTAGTTACATTTAATCAGTTACATATCGTCGCTGTCCAAAGAAAAACTGTATCTCTATTTTATTGATTTTTACTTTTCTACATCACTTGAGCTCAGTAGCTGCCTTTTATATTGTCAGAAAATTTCATGATGAATGAACCAATAGAACTGCTTCAAAACTGCATGGAATAAAATGCGTTTACATTAACTGACATTGAAAGTAAAAAATGTTTTTGCCCTCTGCTGTAAACTTAACTTAAATTTTGTAGATAATTGTAATAACTCCATAGCATGTTTAAGAAATGTTTTTGCATGTTAGTTTTAGGCTATGCATTCTCTAGCCTTTGTTGCACTCAGTTAATTTTGCTAAGGACTCTTACTGTAGAGGGCAGAGCTATAAACCACCCTGGGGGGAAGTGTCTGGGTGAGTGTGCATGTTGAAGAGAGAGGGAGACAAGAGACGTGAGCAGAGTCAGAGAGCGAAATGTTAGAGGAAAGCCTTGCTTATGTATGCCATAGCTGTGGCCAACAACAGCAAGAAAATAAAGCACCATGACTTGTGTGAAAGCTGGGTCTCTTTTAATAGCAGTAAATGCTACAATACTTTTACTTGTACTTAAACATAACTGTGAGAAAAAGGATCTATGGTTTGTAGTGTAATATCCTCTAGTGCATCACGCAGCCTCGTCTGTTTGACAGAATCCACGATTTTCTTGTTTTTTTTCCATTAATGTTCTACCACTGCAATTCTCAGCATGCATTGTACAAATACATCATACAACTATTGGGTCTCCCCACCACAGCGACAATGAAATGCACTGCTGCAAAGGCATCATCATCACAAGACACAGCACCATGTACAACCAAAACCAAATCACATACAATGGTATTTGGCTTTGGTTGTACATTCTCTACTTAGAGTCACTATTATCAGTCATGTGTATTATTTTGAATGTAGGGATATATAGCATGGTGATCATGTGATCATGGTGAATCACTGCTGTGTTTTGTGTATCTGTGAGGGCAGTTGTTCCCAACCCTCTTAAAAATGAAAGTGTCAGAAAGGATTCTTAGGAGCACTCCCATAGAAGAACAACTTTTGGTTCCCTTCCCTTGTATAGCGCTCTGAATGCAGGACTATATTGCTTTATGGGGGTTATTCAGTTCAGAAGGGTCTGTGGAACTCTATTTTTGAGGCAAGATTAGGCTTTTATAACAAAAGCTTTCATTTCAAGAGAGAGTTATCTTGAATAATCAGGGTTAGAACTGTTGTGACTGTGCAGGTTAGTGCTTGCATTGTAGTATATGTGGGTGTTTGTGTGACTCTTTTCATCTGTGTCAGTCTTGTCTGTCTGGTACAAGCTGTTATGTGGTGCCACTGTTTCATCATTGTTGTTGACAGGTCACGCATTTGGTTTGGTTATCTAACACATTAATACACAATCAGCAACCTCATACATTAACTGTGGAACTACGCTTTTGTAGATAGATTTGGCTAATATTAGTGAATCCAGTTGGTGGTAATAATGGGTCATGTTTCATAGAGACCAGGATAATGAGGTTTCATTGACTCTGGCTCACGTACTGATTTCCTGTAAACAGTCCATTGATAATATAATTCCCATTCAGCCCCTGGATTATTACACAACCCTCCTGTGACACAATTTCTGTTTCCCCCCAAATGAACCACTGAAAGCGCAGGGTGAGTCAGACGGCAGAACAGGAATGAGCGAGTTTGTGTATGTGTGTGTCAGCCTGCAGGTAAGGGTAGGGCGTGCTTCAAGGCCTATGAGTTTCCACTTCAGAAAAAAAGGGGAGGGGAGGTTTTCTTTTGAGTCAAGGAAATGAACAGGTACCTTCATCAGCCAATTACATATTGAGAAAGAAAGTGACGGAGAGATAGAGGAAGGGTTGTGAGACGAAAGAGAAAGAGTGAGTGAGAGGGAGAGAGTTAATGAAAGCCAGGGAGAGAAGCGTGAAGGATGTTCTCTGGCAGAAACACGCATGCGGTGTGTACGGCGTGAGCATGGCTGTGAGGGCGCTGAAAGACTCTCTTGTTCCCATTTATGTGCAGTTCTCCCGGGACAAGTACATCATGGATGGAGCTCCTGAGAAGCTGCGCAGAGAGTTGGAGGAGGAACTGAAGCAGTGCAGTGAAGAACCGCGGAGCCACGCCTGGTACCACGGAGCCATCCCTAGACAGGTACGCTCACACGGGGTATGAAGCGGAGAGGGGCTGAATCAAAGCTCTGGACGAATTGAGAGATGATCAGCTAGATATCATAGTGGACAACTGTTGTGTGTTGTGTATGTGAAAGAATATGTAAAAATTAAGGTGTCATAAAAGGTTCTTTGGAGCAATATCATAGAAGAACCACTTCTGGTTCCTTACAGCACCTTTCAGTGAATGGTTCTTTAAAGTTTTGTAAGTAAAATGTGCATCTGAGAAGAGTCTTTCTAAAGTTTAAAGAACCTTCACATTAGCAGTGGACAATGTGATATTTAGAGTTATCATGTTAAATTATTTCTCTGAGAACATAGTAAATATCATCACACTGACCAAGGGCATGCTTCATTACAAAGACAGCATAACTGGTCCTGTTTAATTGGATTCAGCACAGTTCAGTAAATGAACAATGTCACATAGTGTCATTGATGCGAAGCACTGCTCTCCTGAAGCACCATAAGCTATTTTAGTGATAACAGGGGACGCCCCCTTGTGGAGAATTTTCAGCCTGCTAAATGTGAGTGAGTGAGTGGGTTCCAAGCCAGGTCCATGAGGTGGTTTGTATCTAAATTATGTCAAGCTACTAGCTCTTTCTTGTCTCTTCCAACTTATTAAACCTCACAAAAACGAAACATCGTGATGCATGTTGTGTATCGAAAATGTTGAAAAGTATTGTGGTGTTATATTTTTGCTATATCGCCCACCTCTAATCCACATAATATAAATGGTATCCAAAGTAAACGTTTTTCCTATAACCATACGGCCAACCTAAGAACCATTTAGGAGCTGTCTTTAGGAGTGTAATCCTGGATATTTTGGTGTTATCTGTCAATGAAGTCAATGAATAACAAGTCTTAAGGTTAGTAACTGAATAATAGGGGTTCAAGGGGTTAAGCCCATCCTAATTTGAAGTGGGTGCGCTAAATCAGGGAAAACACTGAAATATGTCAGACAGAGCTACTCTGCTGAAGAAGAACTCGCACTATCCCTCAACTGAAGGTGATGGGCTATGTCTGTAAGCCAGTGTTGACTTTCACTGCCATGTTTTGTGCTTAACTAGTTTTCTTTCTGCTTGTTTGGAGCGACACTGCACTGCTCTGGAGTCATGCCTCCACTCTGGCAGAGGAACATTCACTCTCTTTGTGGAAAATGATAATGAAATAAAGACATGTGGCTGTGTTTGCTGCAGCTCATCCTTGACACAATTTCAGTGCAGCAGTCTCCTGCTATGGAAGGTACACACAAGCTATTAAAAACCTCTGACTTTAGTTATACTTTTCTGCTGCTGTTAATTTAGTTGAAGGGTACATCACCCACAGAGGCTGCGCTGTTACCTGGTTAAGCCGGAAGACCAGGATTCAGTTCCTGATACGAGCAACTGCCGCATTACACTCTTGTGGTTCATGTGGCAACAAAGTGAGTTAAGTTAGCAGTATCTGAACATTAGTCAGTTCACAGGAGCTAAACCTGCTATTGTTGGCATTTTAAAGAACATGTCATAATTTTTCCACCTTTTATAGAAAAAGTAAGAAACATCAGAACCTTTATGTTCTGTCTGGGGTCCCTAGACCAGCTTTACTCTAACTGGCTTTTCTTAATTTTCTTAGAACTGTGATTTCAGCTTGTTGCAGTTATTTACTAAATGATAATGTTCTGTGGCAACAAAACAAATGTTTATATAACATACAAACCATGACATACTTCAATATTTACTCATTGTAACAATGTTTTGTTAATTCCGTGCAATAATGTTTTTTAACCTGTTATGGCCAACATTTTCTGAATGTTGCTGTTGCATGTAGGGATGCATTAATACCTTTTTTATGACTGACTACGTGTACATGTTTTTAAGCACTTGAAGATATTGATACAACACAGCCCCTACAGACAGCTCATTTTACAAAGACACTTTTTAAGAAATCACTATTATAAAGTTTACACTTTGCAGTTCTATTTAGTCAAACAAAGTAGAATTGGTATATATGGACTTCTATACTATAAATGGGCTACAATTGCACAGTGTATTCACAGTGGCAAAATGCCAAGGCAGAATGTTTAAGTGACCAGTGGTTTGGTCTGACTGCCATGGGGTCAGCAGCACTTTGCTGCACAAGCAGACCCTCTTTCACTTCAGCTTGAGTATTTGTGCACACTAGTTATACATCACATGGTATCAGATGTTATCAGATGTTGGTATCAGTGCATTTTTATGAGTACGAGTAAATGAGCATCGGACTGATATCAAGTATCAGTCCGATACTTGATATCAGTATCAGTATCGATGCATCCCTAGTTATGTGTGTTTGATATGTAAAGAACATGATCTAACAAAGACAAAGATTTGTAAATGTTTTATTTACCGTGTGCCATAAACTACCATTTTAAACAAGAAAACGCATAAATAGGACTGCAAAAAGGAAGTCTGTGCATGTTTTATATAGTGATAGGAAACATCGTAACACAGAGAATGCTCTGGTTCTGCTTGCTGAAATTGATAAAAATGATTTTACCATTGCACGTGGTGTAGCTCGTGTAGCTGGTGTAAGCGGGAGATTTAAATGAGCAGCTTTCTTTTGTTTTAGGCACAATACTGGGCCGGTCAGGTTCATGTGTTAATAGTGTTTTCCAAAAAAGGAGGGGAAGTAGTAAGACTTTAATCATTTGCTGTGTACTGGGTTTTAATTATATTCAAAAATAAATGAATAGGCTAAATTACTCATACAGCATTTGAGTCAACCTCAAACAATGAGGAACTAAAGGCGAACTCAAAACTTTAGGATTAAGGTGTAAGATGAGCTGGCTGCAAAAGAGTCTGTTACACTGCATATCCACACCAGGCCTCATTTAGAGCCATTCCAAAAAAATGAAAAAAAGAGATTGAGAGAAACATAGCAGATGGGGGTGCTGTGCCCAATCTCTGCTCTTTCCCACGCTTACAGGACTTGACTTCGAGCCATGAACATGGAGATCAATCATTCACTATGCTCATTAGAGCCAGCTCTCATTGGTCAGTGCTGAAAAACTGTCATCAGACATTAAGACATATAGTATCAGTGTAACACTATAGCATATATCATATGATGGCCAGGAACTAGTACCTTTGTGCACCCTCATGTCTGTTGCTTACACAGTAAACATACATGTACTAAATTGTGGGCATGAACATGGAACCAGCTAACCCCCCTAAAGAGACGGCTCACTGAATTATAAAATTTACATTTACAATTTTACCCTCACCCCAAATGTAGTTAATCGTCCAAGACAGTTTAGCATCCACAGTTTGCTTCTTCAGTTTGCACTGGAGCTAAAGGCTAATATAACAAAAGTCTACCTCACCTAGATTTTGGGTTACATACACTTCCATTGCTTTTATACTACATTAGCCTCATAGTCACTAAAAAAGATTTTGGGTGTCATGGACTTCCATTACTTTGATGCTTCATTAGTCTGGTATCTTTATACTATCTAATAACTAAAAGAAATTTCAGACACCAAGCATGTCTTGGCTGGTCAGCTATAATTGAGAAAAGGAGAACATTTTGTCATTTTGATTTTTCAGTGAACCATTGTTTTAAATGCCAAGGGTCCTTATGTGGGCCCCCATTTCAATTCCTCTAATATTAGTTTCATAGTAGTTACCTAATAATTTGTACTGGTTACCAGTTAATAATAAGCCTGAGGTTTGAGTTAAACTTCCACTTACATTTTGAGGCCTCTGAATGTTATGCTCATGGAGATGCTTCTCTGAGTGCCGCGTCAGTCAGCAGTGTGTAAATGAAGCTCTGAGCATGAAACACACCCTATGATTACGCATTATTCACCACACAAAGCCCCCAGCACGTGGGCCACAGCAAAGGTCACATTTAGCCACAATATCAGGCTACTTTCAACAGGAACAAGTCAGACCTGCTCAGCCAAAGTTGATAAAACAAACGACAGACAAGGAAAAAGGCAGCCAGACGTTCACTGAGTCTGTTGCCCTTTCTGTGAACGGCGCGGATAATCATTTGTGATTGATTTCGAAATTTGAAGCTTGGAATTTCCTGGGAATGTTGCATCCCCTCTGTTGACAAGGGTGATTTTCAGCATAACTTAAATATTGCGTGATATCAGGCAGGTAACAACCTGCATTATGAATCCTCTACAGAAGTGAACAAAACCACATAGCGCAGATAAATCAGTGCAAAACAAATCAGTGTCCCCCATCCACACTAAACTGCACTGAGAAACTAGAATATTCATCATGCTTAAATGATCTCAAATCATTATTGAACGTCTTAAAACATCTAGAATTACACTATCTAAAGCAGTATTATGATGTATGACAAATTAGGAATGGACTTTTTGTCTACACAGCTGCTGGAGTTCAAAGCATTAAATGGGTTTCTTCAAGCAGTTTTAATGTGAATATACTATAAGCATGATATGGGCCTGTTCTGAGACATTGATACTTCTGTAGACACTGACCTCATGTATGTCACCCCTTTCTGGCCTTAGTCCATAAATGATGTCTGAGAACAGCTGCTATGCGCAACCTCACAGCAGAGATCTTGGCCACACTTGATAATTCAGTTGATGTCTAACACAGCTAAGCTTGACAGAAAAGTTTGATTCTTTTAATAATAAAGACTAAATTAAAGAAGTGACAGAGATTATTTGAAAGCCAAAACAGTGACCTGCATGCCCTGCCTCACATACAAGCTTAAAGGTCAACTATGTTAAATCCTTCAATAATGGCATAATTGTTTCCTTTGTTGAAAACCAATCAAGTCCAGCAGCACTACATACTTGTTTTGTGGCCAGGTAGTGCTTTTGGCCTTGGACAAAAGTCAAAGACCACCCCATATTTATTTAATTTCCAGTCAAAAGTCTTTAAGTCAGAAATACTTCCTTGAAACTTGTTCTAACTTGTACTTAATGGCTGTTTTGACTGGAAATGAAATAAATGATTGGTGGACTTCTGTACAGTACTGTATATTAAGCCTTTGGTATCAAAAAATACCAATGAATACCATATCAATACCACTGATTCTTCATTGATATCAATGAACTGTCATTTATAATGGCAGAGGCTCTTATATGTATTTAGAAATGTGCATTACTTAATCAAATACATACATACATCATACACATCATCTAAACTGCTTATCCTTCTGGGTCGCGGTGGGGTGCTGGAGCCAGCTGGAGCCATCGCAGGGCAGACAGACAGACAGACATACACAATCACACACACTCACACCTAGGGGCAATTCAGCATGTCCAATTGGCCTGACTGCATGTTTTTGGACTGTGGGAGGAAACCCACGCAGACATGGGGAGAACATGCAAACTCCACACAGAAATGACCCTGGTCGCCCGGCCAGGAATCGAACCCAGGCCCTTCTTGCTGTGAGGCGACAGCGCTACCCACTGCGCCACCGTGCCGCCCCACTTAATCAAATACAATATCAAGAAAATTCTTGCGATAAATTATGGTGTTAATAGTTTTTTTTATCAGTGTATTTAGAGCAGGAAAAACATGAAAATGTAAAGCTACTGCATGATAAGCAGTGCTAATCACTGGCTTTACAAAAATATGTTTGTCCAACATTCCTCTCCATGTACAATTGTTCATCAGGTGGCTGAGAACCTGGTGCAGCGAGATGGTGACTTCCTGATCCGAGACTCATTATCCAGCCCCGGGAACTACGTCCTGACCTGCCAGTGGAAGAACAGCCCGCAGCACTTCAAAATCAACAAGGAGGTGGTGGCCATGAACGAGGCCTACTCACGCGTGCAGTATCTGTTCGAGAAGGATGGTTTTGACAGTGTTCCCGCTCTGGTCAGATACTACGTTGGCAATCGTCAGCCGGTCTCTGAGGTAGTGGGGGCTATCATCTTTCAGCCCATCAACAGAGCCTTGCCGCTCAGGTGCCTGGAGGAGAAGTATGGAGTTGGGTCTATACGTGTGGAGGCTGGCCAGAGAGAGAGGAAGAACCAGAGTTCCAAGCGACTGAGCTTGAACATCATGAACGGGCACGTCCCCGATCACACCCTTGGACGTGGGAACCTCCTCAGGTGAGGAACAAGTTCAGAGCATTTTGTCGTCCGTGTCCCCGTCATACCAGTTATTAGAGGTGTGAAAATCCCCAAGGTGCATCGGTGTATTAAGGTAGTTGATGTATTGTTTCTGTGCATTGTGATGTAGCAAATTTGAAGGTGGCAAACTCCAGGAATGTTAAAGCCATTACACACTGAACACAACGTGAACAAACAAAACTATTAATTCAGATGAGCTTTATCCCAGCATCAAAACTACGCACACCAGAACAAAATCTAATAAATGAAAGAATGTCTTCAAGTGACCAAAAGCCATCCCAAAAGACATGCTCACAGTGATATCGGGAAGGCTACTTTCCATTTTACAAAGGTGAAAAGACAACTGAGAGTTTCATCTCTTCATTCAGGAGACTTAGAGCTTTCACAGATAGATCAGATGTCTGTAACTCAGTTTGAGCTGCTTTTGGAGATGCAATTACAAACGTGGCGAAGAAGAAAACAAACTAATCCTCTTGATGTTTTGTCAAAGTTTTAGTTGCCAATCTGTCATCATGGTTGTTACAATGCCAACACCAGAAACAACAGTGATTTGTTGAGTGAGTTCATGTCGCTTGCGAAAATCAAATGGAGTGTGAATTAATTAATGACACATGTTTGCTGTCTGAAAGATCACATTTCCAAAAGAACCATAATCAAACAGAAACACTGTGAGGTCAGATATTTATACCCCTAACCATACCCAGAAACACCAATGAATGCAAAGAAATAGGAGTTTGGGAACTGTAGTGTAGGTGTGATGTTTATAGGGCCCATGTCAGGGAAAACTGAATTTTCCTCACTTTTCTGAAATAAGAGGATTTGATGTTGTATGTAAACAAGTTTCAAAACATATTGTTCACTCCTCAGTTCACATGACTGATATATGAAAACTAAGCTGCAAATTGAATTCACTGTTCTTGTGATGTCACAAAAACCAACACATTTACATACAACACAATTTACAATACAGTGCAGCCAATCAGAACAGAAATCATGTACATGCCATTGCTGTCATATGTTCAAAATGGTAACTTTACAGGAGAATAAAAAACATTATTAACTTGAAATGGAAGTCAATATTACAAGGTTTTTCCATGTAATTTTGGACCATTTCTGTCAGTCCATTCATCACGAAAATATGTTTATCAATATATAAATTATATATATTTCCATGAGACATGTGTGTGTGTGACAGTGAGAAAATATCAGTCTTAAAGACCCAGTACCAAAAACAGCCTGCCACAAAAGAGTATAGTATAGAGTATAGTGCTCTTGAGTTGTGAAGGTTTTTGGTACATAAGCCACACAATTGTGATTAGTGGACCTCTGGGAAAGAAGATTAAATGTAGGATGTAATATAATACAGGGGGAGGAATTACAAGAAGTGAACACAAACTGTTTCAAAATCTGTTTCATTCTATGATGAAAGCATATGTGATCTCAAAATGTTTTGTTTTAATGTTAAGCCAAGAGAGATAAAAAAAAATCTTGTGGCTAAGGAGGGGATAGCCCGTATGAGTATGTGTGTCAGTGAGCGAAGCTGAAGAGAAAGAAAACCAACATGATGCAAAATGCCAAAACAAACCTTGACAAAAAATGGCCCAACAAAATTAAAGGCTTCTTTTCAACAGACGACACACACATACACAGCGTATAAAATTACTACTATGTTGTGCGGCAGCTTCTCCAAAGCTGTTCAGACGAGAGTTTAACTGTCCCATCTCTGTCCTTCACAGCACCAAAGACAAGTGCGGGAGCCAGCCGGCGTGTTTGAACCATGTTCAGGAGCGGAGAGGACCGCTGAAGACCCATCAGTCCGAAAGCTTCCTTCCGCTGGGTGAGCACTCTAACGTCCGCTTTCATCCTCACTGATGCACTGTCACGCTCCCTCTCTGACAGTCTGCTGCACTGACAGCCTTGAAAACCCACTATTTTCCTTCTTGCATGTACCTCAGCAAAAGTCTTTTCTCAAAGTCAACGTGGCATCCTTACTTTGAAGTTCACTTTCGGTTGTCGAGAATCTGATGTGTGAAGTGAGGCGTGGAATTGGAATGCTAAGTAATTGTTTTGAGGAGGAAGGTTATGCGGGATGATCTAGAATATGGAAAAGCAGAAGAAATGTTTCACGTTCATGTCATTCCAATTGACAGGGCTGGAGATTGGGAAATCATTTGTAGCTTAGCATTAGGTGTCCAAGCTGAAAGCTGTAATTTTTGCCTTTTTTGTTCTCAGCACATCAGATTGAATACATCTCTCTTAGTTCAGAGTGTCTAGAGTGTCTTCAGTGTCTATAAAAGCTGTCAGTTCTAATGAATTTATAAATAATGATATCATCAATAATTCATGCATCTTCTTTGGTTTCCAGGCTCCAGGCCTCAAGCTCAGACCCACCATATGGAGACCCAGTCATGCTCCAAGTCTTCTGTGTTCAGGACTGGCAGTGAGCCTGCCCTTAGTCCAACGGTTCCTCGCAGGATGGCCTTCGACTCCCAGCCGGGTGAGGCCATCCGGGGCTCCGACAGCCAGCTCTGCCCCAAGCCGCCCCCTAAACCCAGCAAAGTGCCCTCCGCAAGACTTCCCCGCTCTCCGTGCCTGCAGCCCCTGGCCCCTGTACCTCCAGTGAAGCCCCAGAAGCAGCGGCATTTGCCCCTCCAACAGCAGCAGCCGGTCAGCCTGGCTAGCCCGGAGATGAACTACTGCAAACTGAGCCCCTGTAGCCCTGCTGAATGGGAAATGATTAGTGGCCCGCAGGCAAACGCTAATGGCTACGTGGAACGGTTGAAGACGGACGAGGAGAAAAGCACATGTGGCGGGACCACCAAGCTGGATCGCAGCTCCTACCATCACGCTATAGAGGCCCTGGAGAATGGCAGTGAGGAGGAAGATGAGGAGGAGGACAAAGAGCAAAGACAAGCAGAACAAGAGGAACCTGAAAAAGACAAGGTTAAAGGCTTCAGGAGGCCTGTATTTGAGACAGTTTCTGCATTCAGGCCAGGGGACACTGACTTTAGGCTTCTGCCGGCAGAGAATAAGCCACTGGAGATGGCTGTGCTGAAAAAGGCCAAAGAACTGGTGGTCAGTCAGGACCCTAAGACCATTGCCAAGCACATCCTGCAAGCTGACTGTGAGGTATGCTTACAATACAACATCACTGTTTGTATTTAATTGTCCACTTGCCCCACTGGAAGTAAAAAATGTTATAGGAATGGTCAAAAAAAAACCCCAAAAAAAAACACACATTTTAAATGATCCCCATATGTAGTTGATCAGCCAAGACATGTTTGCAGTGCTTCTTTAATATTAAACTGGAGCTACTGTTGCTAACAAACACTAGACGTCAAGTCACCCAAATCTTTTCCATTAAAACATTCTCAAAAACGAGTAGACTCGTCAGTGTGGTTTAGAACACAGTATGACTTACTGTGAGCTGTAAATAAACAGCTGAACATACGGATTCAGAATTCCGCACAACACCTCTTGACTGCCCTCAGCATTCAGATACACAGTGATGTTCTGCTGACCTTTATAGTTCACAGTAAGTCATACTGTGCTTTAAAAGCCTGTGCGACCTTAATGAAGATCTGGATGCTGATCGACTTCATCTGGCTAAGTGGAAAATTGCATAAATTAGATTTTTTTGCCATACCCACCAATTAGTACTTAAGTGGTTTCTGACACTGTATGACTTACTGTTATGTACAAAACCAGACAACAGTACAGACAAAATCCAGGCTTCAAGACTGCTAATACTGTTTTTAGCTATGCTGCATACTTTTGTCTATTTTAATAGAATACTGTCATACAGTGTCATGCACATTAGCCTTCACAAGAGCAATACTAGAGCTACAAGACTCAACAAGGAATCTTCAGACACCAAACATGTTTTGGCAGGTGGACCACATTTGGGGATGGAGAAAAAAAATCAACGCAAATTTAATTTGTTCGCCGAAATGGTCACATTTTCTGGCGAGTGGTTAATATAACCACATCTCAAACAAACGGATGTGTTGCCTTTTGGTGGAATCTGTTGGGGGCAACGTTACTAAGTAAATGCTAGACTCGTACAGTAAAAACCTTGGGTTGGTTTATAAAGACATTCCACAAAACCATGGTTTTCCATGCAACTTCTAATGAAACGGCAAAGGATAAACCACCCATCCACACCCACAGGCTGACTACAATCAGTAGTGACAGGTCCATAATTAGCATTTCCATGTGACTCTTGCTTGTTCAGACAGTAAGTTAGAGACTGGTTCTTCCTGCCAGCCTGGTGGAGACCTGGAGGCAGGGTCGAGGTGTTTAGCTGTGTCAGACAACATGAGCTAAATGTAGAGAATGAATCCAATTAGGTCAGGATCACAAACTGGACTGGGTGTCTTATTTGAGAGGAAAATGATCTGTTCTAGACGCATTTAAGTCTCAGTAAAGGCACAAGGCTGTTTGTTTGGATATTTGTAAATTAGATCACAGACTGGCTATTTATATCAGCCTCCAGACTAACTATATGAATGAGAAAACAGCATGATGGAATCTACCCCATAATATCTCTGTAAACATGGTTTAGTAACATTAAGCTTCCTTCTTCGTTTCTATTTAATGCAAGAACATTCAGTGCTAAGTGGTGGCTGTGCATTTTCTAGGTTGCCAGGATACTGAACGTTTCCGATGAGATGAAAGGTCAGATGGGTGTGACCTCTGGGTTGGAGCTGGTGACCCTTCCGCATGGAAGACAACTCCGCCAGGATCTCATGGAAAGGTAAACAGCACCCTGTCAGTTTCCCTCACAGCTGATGCACACTGATGACCTACACTGTAGACATAGGCATACATGTGTATTTGGTCACCTACAAGTTAGCAAAGAGTGAATACTGTAATCCAGAACACCTGTGGTGCTGTATAATACTTTCCAGTCAGCTTGACAGTGGTCATTTTTAAATGTGTGGCTGCTGGACAGTAATCTTAAGTGCAAACTGCAACAGTATAGCATAGATACATAGAGCAATTTTTCAGAATTTTGGTATAAGTAAATGGTTACAAAGCCATTTAGATTATTCATTCATTGATGTAAAATGCTCCATTTTAGGGTCAGAATTCTTTAGAACTGTGGTTATAGGAACAGGACGTCCAAGTTTAAAGCTGCACTGTGTAAGTTTTGGGGATTTGGAGACCTCTGTGGTGGAAATAAGTAATTGCATGCAACATGAACATTTTGTAACGTGGGTTGTGCTTTGGACCCCGAGAGCAGATAAACCTGATGATTGCGAGTACATTGAAAGAGAATTTAAAGAGATCTCAGTCAAAACTTGCTGAAGTTTGATGTCTTCCGAGGAGGACTACTATTGTCATGACATCTTCATCAGTGTAGTGCAGATTTTGTTTAAGACCAAAATATTGAGCTGAACCTACTTTTTGAGCTTGCGCATGTGACGTTAATACGCAAGATGTATGACGAGGTCTGAAAAAAAAAATCCTGGGTAATACTACACACTGCCTCTGACTTTTAAATGATTATTTCAGGCTTAACAAGGTGACTGACAGCAGGGCACACACACCTCATTTTAGTTTGTTCTTTTTCTCCTTACTCCATAATGCTACTACTTTCAGTTTTAACCAAAAAATACATATTGCTGCTTTAATGCCTCAAAAGCTTCCTCACAGAGAGTTTTAAGATGAGATTTTGGCATAAAATGATTTTTTTGTATTCATTCATGGCAGAGGGGTACATGCAGGTGATAGTGAGGCAAAACAGTCCTCACAGGAAACTAATTTTTCAGATTTAATGCTATTTTTCTCTTTATCATTACATATAAAAACTCAGAAGATATGTGTAGATTCACTAGTTGTTTTGGAAAGCCAATAAAATGGCTGTATTAGTTTTTCTATTATGCCAAGGAGAAACATACAGTGCTATGGAGATTAAGCAGAAAGAAAATATTTTTCCAGAAAAATAACTCACTCTTGGTTTACTTTCTAAACAATCTGGAAAGCCATGAAAAAAATCCACAAAATACTATGAGTATCACTATTATATGTGGCACCTATACAGGTATACGATATCTTGCCCAGCACTGTGTAAATTCTGTCCATTTCTTTATCTATCTATTTAATACAGGCATAACACCATGGCGATTGCTGTAGCAGTGGACATCTTGGGCTGTACAGGCAGCCTGGATGAGAGAGCGGCCACACTAAACCGGATAATACTGGTCGCTCTGGAACTGAAAGACTCCATGGGAGACCTTTATGCCTTCTCCTCCATAATGAAAGCACTGGACATGCCTCAGGTAGCACACACTCAGCAACCCCCCTCTACCTCACAGACCAGCTGAGCTTAGCTGGAAATGGAAAGATTGAGACAGATGCTTGGTGTGTGATAAGACTTTAAGAAACAGGCTTAAGTCTTTCTGATCTTCCTTCTGATCACAGATCACGAGACTGGATCACACATGGACCACGTTACGCAGGAAATACACGCAGACTGCCATCATTTACGAGAAATCTCTCAAACCGTTCTACAAAGGCCTGTATGAAGGCAGTGGTACGTTTCTGTCTTTGGCACGCCTCTTGTTAGAATCTTCTGCAAACATCAATGACTCACAATGTTGTAGACTGTTAACCCTCAGAGACCCACTGTAGCAAAATTGCAGTAATTGTTTGTCACTTAAACTACATCTTCCAACATCTCACACTCTAAACTGCAGCAACCTCCTCCAAATGACTCTCTTGCTCTGTGTTTTGGAGCAAATTTAGAGCTGTGCAAATTTTTTTTTCCCCTCAATTTACACTCACACAGTCATAAAAAGTTACAACAAACAAATTATAGATGTAAATACACAAATTTGAGGCTCAGCTGCAACATGGGCCTTAAAGTTCACCACTTTTCTATTGACACTTTTCTCCATTATAATCAATGGGCCCAACTCCAATCTTGCAGACCTTCTGGCACAAACAGTGTAAACTTTTTTTCATCTCATAAAACCTGATCCAACTCATCAGGTAATCAAACCCTTTATGAGACAGAACAGGTCTTTTGTGGCATGGAACTCAGGACTTGTCCTTATTATATATATGGAACACATATATTCATAGTACAGTTTAATATAAATGAATCTACTGTTTAAGTATAAAACGACAGCATTTAAAAAGGTAACTTTACAGAAGAAGGAAAAAAATTTTCTTAACTTTAAATGGAAGTTAATAAAACGATTTTTTTTTCAAGTACATTTAGTAATTGGCGATTTATACATCTTTGTGTGTTAGACTCACTAAGATCAGATTAAATTAAACTGTGTTAAAATAACGAGAAACTTGTAATAACCTTTAAAACCCATGTCTGCAATTTTGCAACAACATTCCAAAATGCATGTTTTTTATGATCAAAGTTTAGTAAAAACAGTTTAAAGAGAAAAAAAAATCAACAAATCATTGCTTGGTTCTCTGAGGGTTAAAATCCGGAAAAAAAAACATTAAACTACACAGTTTTCCCTCCTACCCCTTATACACCTGATCACATGATGCGTTCAATGGCTAAAGTTTGCTTCTATAGTTTGGAGGATGATTCAGGCATGCAGTTTGCACAATGCTAAATACTAGCTTTAACATTAGCCATTTAAGACATCAGTCTTTTTTGCTGATCTATGGTTTTTATATCGTAACATTTTAAAAGTCTTAAAGTTACAGCATGTTCCATCAGTGTCTGCTTCAGGAGCAGCACGTGTTGGAGGTTGGCATGGGTGAATAATTTGACTGAGCCTGAGTGAACTAACTGTTCTGCTCTCTGCAGCGGAGGTGCCACTGAGCAGTGCCACAGTGCCACTGCTGATGCCCCTCCTCACCCTGATGGAAAGACCTGCAGTGGCCTTTGAGGGCATGGAGCTGTGGGAAAGCAATGATCAGGGCTGTGAGATCATGCTGCGCCATCTAGAGGACGCCCGCGCTGTTGCACGGAACGCCGACACCTACTCCTACAACGCTCAACGAGTCCTGAAAGGTAAGACAATTAGTTGAGGAGTCATCAGCCACTAAGAAAAACCTGTTTGTGTAGACTGTAGCACTGAGTGAAAAGGGAAAAGTACTGAGATAAATACTTCTAGCATGAACACTTTGATAATGACAAGCTTGGCTAGTGCTGGACAGTACAGATAAAATTCAATATCATGGTATTTTCCAAATATGTCACAATATCATGTATCAGATATTTAATTTTGCATTCGGTGACTGACCCTGTGCTTCCAGGATACTGGGAATGCCTTATAAACCTGACATAACTTCTATTGATTAAACTGTTTTGTTTGGTTATAAGTTATTAAGTGATAAATGAAAACTTCAGTATCAGTGAAACTTTTGTTTATCAACCAGTAGATTTTGATGGATTGGTAAAATTTCTTGCAATTCAATTAAAAATGCCATGACACAAATGTTTATTCCCTGATATTAATACTGAAACATGCAGTATTGGCTGATACTGAGACAATTTTTCGTCTTTAAAAACTACTAAGCTTTCAAGTTTGATGAAAAATAAAACTGTCTTAATATTTACTTACCCCTTACTTCGGAATCTGAGCAGCGAGGCGAATGTTGCTAAACACACTACAATGCAATAGTCACCCAAATATCCCAAACTGTTTCTGTACAAATACTTCACTAAAACTTTCGAGTCACTCAAACCACATCCAGGTCTTCCTGTGGCTTAGGATGAATTTCTGTTACCTATAAAAATGAACAAAACTCCCATTTTAGACAACAGGTCTGTATTCACAAACCACCTCTAGAACCAGTTTTTGTGACAGTGACAGTCATAAATACAGAGGAATCTGATCCAAGATCAGTCTTGCTATGTGAATATCAGCCCTGGTGTTTTCCAGAAAATGGCTCCTCATGGTGGTGCAGTTTTGTTTTTATAGTTCACATTAAGTCATACTGTGTTCGATACCACATTGACAAGACCTGGATTTGGGCGAGTTGAGAGAAGTTTTATGGATTTATTTTTACTGAAACAATTTGGGCTATTTGGGTGACTACTGAGTTACAGTGTTTGTTAGCAATGTTAGGCTTGTAGCTGCAGTTCTAAGCTAAGTAAGCAAAATGAGGACTACAAATATGTCTCAGCCAATTACCTACATGTGGGCTACATGGAAAACTGGATACATTCATTTGCCAAACTGTTCCTTTAAAGAGCTACACTATATGGACAAAAGTATTGTGACACCTCATTCTAAATCCATAGGCATTAATATGGAGTTAGTCCCGTTGGTGTTTTTGATTATTTTTATGGGGTTTTTTAATATTTTTCTGCATTTTTTTGTAGACTTCTGTCCCGATGAGGACATGCTGGAGATCCTGAAGACGGACTTCCAGCTCCGCCTGTTGTGGGGCAGCAGAGGGGCTGCTGTGAACCAAATGGAACGATACGACAAGTTCAAACTCATTCTGACCGCACTGTCCAGAAAACTGGAGCCACCTGTCAAACACACTGAACTCTGAGGAAAATAGACTAGAATCAGCTCAAAGAGCTGCGCACAAGCAAAGACTTTCTAAATCTTCTAAACACCACAAACAGAAGACTGGACCCCATGGTCTAAAAAAGTGGTGTGAAAGAAGAAGCCCCTTTGACAAGTACTTTGGTACCATGGACCTTCTAAAGGAAAAATATGTCTAAAGATTAAACCCAATCGTGTACACAGAACTCAGAACAAGCAGTCTTTTAAGACTGTCAGCACAAGAGGATATTTTCCCGCTCTTTGGGTCTCAAAGACAAGATGACAATAATAATGAGATGAAGAATTGAAAAAGACAAAAGATGCAACGAGGAGCATAAATAAGTGTTTGAGGAAAATAAAGCATGTGGTTCATCACTTACCATAACCGGCAATTGTGTGTTTTAATGAAGGGCCAGGTGATGAGTGGGGAAAGAGGATGAAAGGCACATGAACGTGCTTCAGTGGACTATGAAAGTTCTGTTCTTATGGACATTTTGAACGTGTTCTGATATGAATATGTAGTGTTTGTACAGCAATAAATGTCTAGAAAGTCTGGAATCAAAGTATCGAGGTACACATTGGTCAACAGTGTATCTGGGGGAAAACATACATGGAAAATGGTGTAAATAATCGTTACGATGCCAAGCATGTGAATGCTAGTCTATATGTTATATATTTTATTCTTAAGTGTCATTGACATGTAAATAGTCCTTTAATATCTTTATATGAAATGATGCAACAACTGTATAGATAAATGTCTAAATAAAATGTCTGTTTAACTCAACAAAAGCTGATATTTTTTGTTAACAGAGCAAGATGATGGCCTGTTAGGGGTTCACTATTTCTTCCTAATGTTACATTGACTTGTATGATTTCACTGAACAATTTATTGAGAAAATGCTGAATCGCTCACAACACTCAACTCCTGCCACTGAATCTGAAGACTGATAGTGTTGAGACAGCAATGTTTCATGTAAGATATGCAACTAAGAATGAAGAAAAAAGTTTTATCAAACAGCCAGGTTTCCTAACTGAAACTCAAAATCATCCCAGGAACTAAGTGAAAACTGAAGTTAGGTAAGTAAGGTCTTCAGCTATGAGTGGGAAAAGCTTTAGTGTCTCCTATCTTCATGTACGTTAGTAGTAGGTTTTATATCCCTTCTTTTGAACGTTTTCTAGACATGGAGTGATTTTGTGAAACTAATGCTGAGGCGGGAACAGATCCTGTCACTTTCCACTGAAACTGTACATCTTTGATTCTTGATTTTGGACTTGTCCTTGCATCTAATCTCAGTCAGGAATGTTAGACTCTGATTGTGGATCAGTAAATTTCTACAAAACATAAAACATTAACATTTAACATTAAATGCAATCATTGGAAAAAAAATAATAACAATAATACATGACAGAGGTGTTCCATGACCTTTTGATCACTGTATAAACAAACTGCGTAGCTCAAGAAATACAATAATTAGAGAGAGTTGTCTACTTTTTAGCCTCAGTATCACCATTAGGCTGCAAATCCACAAATACTAATTTGGGTATTGCTAGCTAGATCAACAGAGTGATCAGGCAAAAATCAAGAATTTATCCTATTATACATTACTAATGGAAGCCCATTCCCATGTCTTTCCCCTCCTTCTAGATTTCTGGCAGCAGTATACTGACTTAGTATTATGAAATAATGACTCATTTCTCAAAATATTGATTTAGTATCACACAGGACTTACTTATTTTCTCAAAATAATGATTTAGCATCTTGACATATTTACTTAGCTTCGCAAAATAATGGCAGTTTCTCAAAAAGACATTATCCCAAATCAATTACATTCTTAAATTTATTGACTATCATTCTGACATAGTATCTCAAAAGTCTGAGAAAAAAGCAATTTCAGAAAACAATTCAAATTTTTCAAGAAAATACATCATTATCCTGAGACGGCAAGGCATTGCTTTGAGATGCTAAGTCAGTATTTCAAGAAAGTAAGTATTTAGAGATACCAAAACATAGAAGAAATATCAGTCTTCCATGCTTAATACTGAAAAAGCTCCCGTCACACAAAACATGCACGGGCAAACAGGAGGATTGGGACAAACAGACTTTAGTATTTATTTCTCGTTTGCTCTTGATCAAACACAACCCAGAACATAGTGGTCACCACTGTCTTACTGTACAATATAATTATACAAAGATAGCAGTCAGCGCCAACACCATTCACTCATTCACTCAGTCATTCATTTACTCACTGAAGTTCAAATTCAAATGCAATAGGGTAAAAAAGTGCATTGGTTAAGACCAGGGTCCAATAGAGTATTGTTCAGACACAAAAAGCGATGATTACAAACAGATAACGGCACGATTCTTTAAAAGCGAAGCAAAGTCATTCACGCAGTTAAAAACCCTATAAAAAGACACGATAAAAACACATTCAGTATGAAATAAAAGTTGTTAATACTTACAATTCAGTAATAAAAACTAACTAGGTATATACACATGTATACATATATCCATATGCATACACATTGTTTTCATATATGTATGAAATCACATTCACAAACATACGCACTGAAAGATGGACATTTCGGAGCCCCATTATGAGGCTCTCGCGTGTTCTTCAAGCACATGTGAAATCGTGAACAGAGTGACGGGTTTCTATAGGCTGTAAGGAAGTGGATGGCTGGAATGCTGAGTGAATTTCTGAGGGTCATCACAGGTCCAGCTTTTGGTCCGCCTGTGTATGGTGATGCGGGCCCCCCTGCTGGTCTGAGTCAGTACTGCACCAGGCTGCAGTGATCCACAGTACAGGCAGCCACTTGGTTTTCGTGTTGGGGACTTTTGGCGTGGCTACTGTGGTCCCACCCTGCTTCTACCCTGGTTTGTTCATGCTTTGGTGGCGGAACACGGAGGCATGACAATGACTCTTGGATGCATCAGGGAATGTAGTCGAAATGTGAAAAAAATACTCAATGGACACAAACAAGACAAGACATCATAAGTAGGGTGACAAGAGTTTAGAAGTTAACAGGCTGAAGTGGTTTTGTCCTAGTAGGGGCTGACTGGTCAGCCCTGAGGAAGGAAGTAATGAGTTTAGATCATGCATGTTAAGTGAGATGGTGCAGGCAAAAATATATGTTTCCATGACGGCGCTGGAATGGACTTCAACAGGATGGAATGTTAGTGCCAGGCACACTTTTAGATCAATGCATCAAACAAGCTTTGGGTTTTATTCTCCTTTCATGCGTCTGATTCCTCGCATTATACTCCCCACACCTAAACCACAAGCCTCTGCTGCAATGGAATGATGTTAATGGCAATGACAGTGTCAGCATGCAAGACATGCATCCTGTCCTCATTTCCTACGTTTTTCACCCTCACTCTTTCTGTCTATTTCAGTCTGAAACCCCCTGAACTACCTATTAATAGACCCAGAGCAGCATGTCCCCTCCACCAACACCACAGAGCCCCACTCTTCCACTCAGGAACCTGTAGCCACAGAAAGAGGAGAGAGTACAGTCACTCACACAGACCAACACTAGAGAGGCGCTGGCCGATGACAAGAGGTCAGGATTAAGACAATCATTGTGGAGATCCTGTAAGCCATGATAAAACGACTTGAAGATATAAAATAATAAGATATATGTTTCATCATCTTATTTAAATCTACACTAGTGCCAAAAATGGGGGCTGTACATATGCACCTGATAACCATAGGCAACCTTGCTTGTTCAGGACTCAGGACACTCAAGCTGGTGTACGTAAAAGCTGTATAGGCTGCAAAAAACACCAAGTTTATATGACCATCTCAAAACCTCTTCACTTAATTAACCAAGCCTCTTGAACTATTCTCAGTGATTTCTGACCTCTGCAGTACAAGGCTAAGATGGCATCGTGGAAAAACTTGTCATGCAACACTGCCACTTATGGGAGATCTTCTGAAATGCAGCTTTTGAATCAACAATTCTGTACAGAAAGGTCCCTGCTGAACAGATTTACCGAAATGAGACTAACATTTATTAACAATGGTTGATAAACATTACCAGTACTTAAGTCTTTTATCCTCTTGCATTACTGGAGAAAAACTATGGGAAAAAACAAGTTGCAGAGCAGCTGATTGCAGTACGTAGTGTTAGCAATGCTGACCGAGAGGTCATGGCAAAATGATGGATAATCAAAATGAAAGAAAATTAAGAAATCACTATTCAATCAATTAACTTTGCTCAAAATTTTCCATGCAGAAACAAAATGGAACAAATTAAGAACAGTGCGCTTGACACCTAGTAAAATCAATAAAAGGTCAATAACGGTTCATTTTTAAGAGGGAGCTAATCTATCACTGTGGAAAAGCCTTCCCAACTAGGAAGAATACTTTACCATACAGTCATAGTACACTAAAAGTTGTCCTGGTCACTTCAGGAAGAATGGGTGTGTGTACATATGTGTTTGTCCAGGGCTCACACAGTGAACAGAGTATGATTCAGGGAGTCGTGCTGCCAACACAAAGAGTCAATTCTGGCATGCACATGTTCCCATTCCTGATGTCTTTACAGGCCACCATGCCGTGGGTGATCAAATGTAGGTGACCGCACCTTTGCTGTGTTTCTCCAGTGTGATCTCCACATAGGATGTGGGCACATAGCCCTCCTCTCCACTCTGCTTACGGACTCGCGTCCAGCCGTCTCCTTTATCCTCCTCTATAACGTACAGCACCTCATCCTCCTTCATCACCAACGTGCCCTCGTTAGAGCCTGTGAACACACACGTGCATGCACACCCACACAAAAACACAGGTATTTAAAAGTTAATTCAAGCAATAACATGTTCACGGAACAATCTGCATTATATAACTGCACCATAAAGTAAAGTACTGTTCAGGCAGAATTAGTTTTATACTGGGGGGGCAGCAATGTAATTTTTTCCAGAGGATGTCTGAGTTTATTATTTCCAGTGTATCTCCAGTGTGAGTTTCTGTCCCGTCCAAATCCATTATCATTAACTCCTGACAAAATGTGGATTCATGCATCTGAAAAGATTAGAGCAGCTTTTACAACTATATAATGAGCTGTAGAAATAACCCAATAGTATCAATGCTGTACCAAGTACAGGGTGGTACATACAAATGTTGGTAAATATTTTAGAGCTGGGACCACATACCAGTTTATCGATAATTATAACAGTCATAAAACTGATATGTGCAATGACTTGCTGGTTGTGAGGGTCACACTGGCATGCTGGCACACAGGGAGCTACCAGAAACAGTATTTTTGTGCTTATTTATAGTTAAATCTTTATTAAAACTGAGAAAATAGGAACAAGATGCTCTGCTTTAGCTTGGAACTCAAATTGAAATGAGTTTACAAGCAATGGAAGCAGCCATGAGCTCTGATGTGAAACACTGTGTTAACATGTACATTTCAAAACTTGTTAAGTGGGGTTTTTTTCGGTCTGCAAAACATGGATCAGTGTGAAAAGGCCTTGAGATTTTGTTGCCACCTTTCTGGCATGGACAGAAACTAAACCTCAGCATGTTACATACATGTTATGGACACAGCCTACCAATTACCCAAGTTATGTACACACAGTTTTGGTGCAATGACAACACATTAACAGTAGACACTCCCATCTATCTGGTGTGAATGAGACAATGTAGACAAAGACATTCTGTGGTAACACTACTTCACAAACATATGTTCAGAAAACTATACTTGTGTGAGCAGAAAGAGAGACTGCAGGTACATAAGTTTGTACCATCAAAAGAATAGAGCGCTTTGCAATGTCCAATTGCAGGAAGAGGATCATCATCATCAAACTCGTCATCAAACTCGTGTGGGTCGGGCTGTGGGGGGGACCGGTGCTCCTGGCTGTGATCGTCTGTGTAGCTGCCCTCAGGACTGTAACGCACAGACAGAGAAACAATTACAACATGTAGTCTTATAATCTATATGAATACTATCATTAGTTTCATTCAGTGATGACAAGCTGCTGCACTTTGATGCGAGTAAATGACAGCGTCAGACTAGACACTCAATAAGAGGAGATCAGATTATGTTAGCATAATGATACTGTTCTGTTTATGGCAGCTACAAATTTAAATGCCCACCTTTCTCTGCCATGAGGAGCATGATGATTTACATCTGTGCTAGGCCGTCGTTCACTGCGAGAACTCTGCTTAGCCCCCTCAACTTCTGCCAGCCATGTCTGAGAGAGAGACAGAAGGAAAAACTTGAAAGTAAGAATTAGAAAAATTCACTCCCAACTTGGATTTTCTCTTTCATTAAAAGAATAGATCAGCATTCAATTTACCCAGTTCTCCCCTTACCCCAAAGGAAGTCAAAACATGTCTGACGTCTCATGTTTACTGTAGCACTAAAGGGTAATAACAAACAGCTAGGAAGTAATGAAAGTATACTCCCCACCAAATTAACATCAGCCAAGCTACACATCCAAATCATCCTACATTTGTATTTAAGTAATCATGTAATCTCAAATAGACTTGTGAAATAGGCTTATGTAGCTTCTAAACTTGCTTCTAAATACCCATCGATCTCTACGAAAATGGAAAAAGTACTGACAAAATTCAGACTTAAAGATGGCTACAGCTGTTGGCTACACATGGCTACAAGATATGATGTATTTTATCCATTTTCATAGATAGCAAGATGTCATACAGCATAAAAACCACGTGACCAAGTCTATTTGACAATACTTAATGACTGTAAGCAGTTTGAGAAGTGTGGGGTGATTTAAGCATGCAGTTTGCACTATGCTAATTTGTGTAGACCAAATCAGAATGTCTGTAAACATACATGTTGGCTATACTTCTGGGTGGACAACTCACGTCGAGTCAGCACGAAAGCAGCTCAGTTTATGGTACAATTTACAGTAAATACAAACGGAATATGCAAAACTTCCACAATAATGATAAAATCTTGTGTTTGAGGCTGTAATGTCAAACGTACCCAAGTACGTAATGGATTTTAGACACACTTTTCCAGTTTTCCTGCTTTCAAAGCATGCAGAGCTGATTTAAACAGCATTAATCCCAGTGAGAGACCTGAGTTTGGTAAGACTTGCAGCCAAAAAAAGCCAACAGCAAATTAGCTATGTCATTCTCTCTTCATCTGGGGTCGACCAGAGGAGGATGGGTTCCTCCCTTGAGTCTTGGTTCCTCTCGAGGGTTCTTCCTCTTACTCCTAGGGAGTTTTTCCTTGTCACTGTCGCCTCTGGCTTGCTCATGCGGGTATGGGACCAGGATTCAGTTCTTTATGTCTATACATGGACTTCTTATTTTCTTTTTTATCCCTTTGATAACACTTCCATAAACTGCTTTCCTTCCATAACTGCTTTTCTGTAAAGCTGCTTTGAGACAACACTAGTTGTAAAAAGCGCTATTCAAATAAATGCTGTTGTTATTTTAGCTGTCTCCCAAGCAGGTGGGAAATGAATTAAAACAAAAGTTGTAATTTCATCTGGTTCCCGATTGGGTCAGATGTGCAGTGGAAAAAACACTGCTATAAAGCAAGTGCTTCTTCATTAATCCCTGTAATGAAATGTTTATTAATTTGATGGAAATTAACAACAAAGATTTATCAAGCTGTTACAATAAGGTAACAAAAAAAACACATTGCTTTCCAATATCTTGTTTTTTTTTAAAAAAAAGTCAGGATCTCAGGATTAATACAAAATCCTGTTGTATCAAAGAAGCGCTACCTGTGTTATCCATTCTGAAGTAAGTTATTTGCTGTTGCGTAACACTGATTTGTCCTATAAGCTCCCAATAGCTACTTCAGTATTGTATCTCTAGTGCAAAACTGAAGAAACAAACTTAAACACCAAACATGTCTTAGATGATTAACCACATTTGCAGTAAGGATGAAGTGCCAAACTATTCCTTTAATATATCTTACAACAAAGGAAACCAATGCCTCATTTCATCAGTACTGCTTTCTGTAAAAGGAAAATTCAAAAATAAAAAAATAAAACATAAGGGAGATGCACTGTGTCCATTTCTCCACAAGGTGTCACTAACAAACAGTGCTATCCAGTTGTGCACTACAGCTCATTTCTCCAGATGTGCCTTTGGGGGCTGCATTTCCTTATATGACCATAACAATGGGGCGCTTCACTGGGGAGGTTACCTCATTTTTATGGATCTCAGAGCGCAGCTTCTCCATGTTGCATATGGTCTCTGAGATCTTTGGCTGGAGACTCCCAGGGTCGCCCATCTGAGGGTTCTTCTCATAAACGTCCTTCATTTTGTTTAATGCATCTCTGTAAGATGGAGATTTACAGAAGAGAATTGTCTCACAAACTAGCAACCACAACACGGACCACAAAACATGTCAGTTTCATCTAAATGATATTATATAAATAAATAAAATATATAGAAATATATAAATGCATTTTTATGGACAGTTATTGCAATGTTCAACCTTTGGTCCATTTCTTTCTGAAGTTCTCTACTGAGCTCGTCGATCCTTTGCTGTAATTTCTTGCGTCTCTGTTCCGGGGGGAGGTGGCTGAGATCTTCCAGGTTTGGGGCCTGGAAAGACATAGCTTAGCGGTTAGCGGCTAACATGTTGAAACTTGTGGGCAGACACCTTTACGCAGCTACAGTCTCAGAGAGCACTATGAAACAAAAACAAATCCCAAACGAGGTGTCCTTCCCAGAGTTAATGGGCTCATGTACTTTTACAGCACAGAATTAAATGTGTATGGTAAAATCAGGCATGACTGGTTAGAACGGATGGAAATTGGAATCATATAAAAATACATTATTTCACTGACTTGTTTACATAATGTAACCCAAAACACTTTAAGAAGGACATCTTTACAAATAAGCAGGGAAGAATAGGAGTGAAAGCTCTCATTCTCTGTCTTTGGGAGGGTGAGGGATCCTAAAACTGGACTGACTCTAGGACCTAGACTCTACTCAAGTCCACAGGCAGGGCTATTTCTACAGCACTCCAGCACTATACCACCTCCATACTCACCAGCTTCACTGACCACTGAGCAGTTGTGGTTAGACCACGCCATTTCACAAACACACAGAAACACACAATGACACAAGTAGCTCATCAGCATTGGTCAATACTCTGGCTCCAAGGACGGATTTAGACACTAACAGCACTTCATCATGCTGACACAACAGACCTGAGCTGAGGCCTGGAAACCTAGACTGTGTCTAAAGGTTCCCCTGGGTGAGATAGGGTTAACACAGCAAGGAAGGGGACAGGACAGTTAGTGTTCTTATGGTAGTCAACAAACACTCGCCATAGACTACAGACCACTATTGAGTGCATCAGTCTGATGAAGGGACGCCACTTATTCTTTAGCTGGCCTCAGAACAGGACCTTGAAAGATAATGCAGATGCAGAGCTGAGCAGATGATCATGAAGATGTTTTGTTGTTTGAAACTAACTACTAATTGCCATTAGTAGTTAGTTTTAGTAGTTAGTTGGCTGGAAGATCAGTGTCTGGTTATGAGTTGGTACGAATGATAGTTAATGGTTTGGTGAAAAATGTAATTTACACAATGATCCACTTAACCCAGATGTAGCTGATCAGCTAAGACATGTTCAGCATCCAGATGTATCTTCTTTAGTTTAGTGCTGGAGCTGAGAGGCCAACACTGCAAACAATGTAACACTAGAAAGCCAATTTTTGCTCAACTACAAAGCCAACTTTGCTCAACCCGTTCAAACAGCCTCCAAGTCTTTAAGTTCGTGCAGATTTGTCAATGTTGTTTAGAGAACAGTATGACTCTGAACCACAAAACTTCACCAGGTAGCTTTTTAGACACTTCAGCTACACAATGTTTACATGGTTAAGCTTTGTTCATTTCTATAGCTTACAGTAAGTCATACTGTGTCCTAAACCCCATCAACAAGTCTGCATGACACTAATGAAGACCTAGATGCGGTTTGACTGAGTTGAAAGAAATTTTGGGGATGTAGTTACAAAAAAAGCATTTGAGTGACTACTGACTTCTAGTGGTTTGCAACATGAACCTTGCAGCTCAAGCGTTAAAAAAAAGAAGTAAAATTTGGACGGCAAACATGCCTTGGCTGGTCAGTTACATCTGGGTTAAGTGGAATTTTGTGCGAATCGGATTTTTTGCCAAATCATTCCTTTAAAAGTGGCCAAACACCACTGAAACATTAAAATACCTACTGAAATACCCAACACCTGTAACCCCTGATTTCAACCTTTGACAAAATCTTTTCACAGCTATGAGTGCTGGTCTAGCATCAACTCCTTTCCACAATCAAATTCATACAAGAACCGATCCAAGAACAGCACTCTAAGAACCTAAAAGGATGATAAACTGACCTTCAAAACCGGCCTTTCTCTGAAAGATTAGTCAATAACTGAAATCATCAGGAAATGCAAACACACACACACACAAACACACACTTCAGCAAACTCTTACCCCTCTCTTTAGACCCCGGAAAGATGGGATCTTGGACTTTACCGTTCTCATTTCATTCAGACAATGAACTATCCGCTCGGTGGGGAACTTAGGAGACTGAAAGTGGGCATGACGGAAACTAGGGAGGGGTGGGGGAGGGATGGATGGGGGAAGCTGGGGCAACAAATCATCAAAAGGTCAACAACTAAACAAAAACAAACAAACAAACAAAAAGGCATTCGCTACGGCTTCCCAGTCACTAAGTTAAATACATTAAAAACAAGAATCAAGACATGAAATGCAGCTACAAAGCTAAGCTACAAAAACAAGGACGGTGACAATGACTGCATGATCAACTTCCACAACTGTGGTCTAGTTAAATGAAAAAAACAAAACAAAACCCGTAATGCCCTGGTGGCATGCCAGTATGAAGTGTAATGCCATAAATAGCAGGTTACTGATTAACAGCATGTTAAACCTTTTACAGCCCTGGCAGGTCAAAGTCTTGCGCTTGGCCTGTAAGATTTGGTTTACATAACCTGTTCTGAAAAAGCAACTGCTTTATAATCATTAGGGAGGAGAACCTGATGTAAAAATGTCTTTCCAGAAATTTAAATACTGCACTAAAAACAGCTGAAACTGCATATATGAATGTATACAGTAAAACGTCTTGTGACTTTGAGCAGGTAAGAGGGTGGGGCATTGTGTTAGCATAGTATATGTGCTTGTACGTGTGCAGGTCTTACTTTGGGCTTTTTCCCAAAGAGCCACAGCTTGTTCTTGGCTTTTCCAATAGAGTGTTTGGGGTCAGGTTTGCTTCCGTCGTTTTTAGGGGTTCCAATAGTGCCGTCCGATCCTGTGCGCTGGATGTTCTGACTGAAGTCCTCGAAGGGGAAGTCACCTGGGGGCTCGAACCCTGACTTGAATGACTCTACTACGATTGATGAGTCCTGTGGTAGAATGACATCAAGTTAAAATAACATACGCTGATCATTAAATCATAACACTGCTGAAGAACAGGAATGAGATCTTTGCAGTGAGTTGGACTGCATGAACACTACTGAGCCGTGGTAAACGGTATTGCAACATTGTGTAATCAACCTGTTCTTCAAATCCTATACACTTAATATCAACCATTCCATAAGCTGAGGATAGTTATGAATCATATTATTCATGTTATATGTAATGAATCATAGGCATTGCCAAATGGTACGAACAGGTCCCCAGATGGTCAGCCACTCTGAAACGTGCACGTTCACAGAGGGTGTGGTCTACATTCTGGAAGAGCCTGCACCAGATCCACACAGCTTGCTCCTAGGGGCCTGTACAAGCACAGCCCAGGATAATGGGAAACCCTCAGAAGAGCATGAGCTACACTTGTAAACACGCAAGGCAAAGCACAAACACTAACACAAATATTCTAATAACTGGACTGTTACTCTGTGGAGAGGGTAGGAGATGGGCCGTGGCCATGGGTGGAGGGACACTGGGCGATAGTGAAAGTGAGACTAAGCCAAATAGGATTGAAAAAGTCATATTGGACCTCTTTATGAGCATCATGGGAAAGAGCTTGTAAGCCCTGGCCACAATGTTGAACATCCTCCTTAAAACCAACTCCCACTTTTGACAATGTTTACCAGACTACATTGCCTAAGGCCCAAAGGCTGGGGGATACATTTCTCAACAGCTTCACAGCGTAATGACAACTGATATATGAGAAAGTGAAACATGCTATACAAATACTGCAATAATTGCTTTGCTGTGTCACTTCTGATAAAAGCTCTGGCTATCAGATTAGGTAATACACTCTTTCTTTGTATGCCAACACACAATATCAAGATAACTAGATTGATACAGTTGCCCATTTTTTGCACCTTCACTCACCCTGCGCTCATCCACGTTTTTGGCAGCAGTCACCATGCCCTCCAGACACTTGGAAATGATGGGGATGACTTTCCTCTCCACCTCAGCAAAGCTCCGGTAGGTCTCCCCCAGTTTCACTGTTCGACGCTCATCCATATCCTGTAGGTTCTGTAAAATAAGCAAACCTAAAAATTATATTATGCACACAAATACAAGTGTCCTCTGCAGAAGTTTCAAAACAGTGAGGCTCACCTTTAAAATGATTTAGCTGAAACAAACTTTATAGTATTTTTTTTTTAATTAGCTAAAAAATTAGCTAAAAACATTTCAATATAAAACAATACAATTCAGATGGGAAGCGAACATTCACCTTAAATATCTGTGGGATGGCCGCATTGAAGTGCTTCCACTGTTCAGCATTAAAGTTCTGCAGCTGAGCAGCATACTCGTTCTTACTCTCATCTGCCATGTGGGTTCTCAAATACAGCTGGGCTTTGGCCTGACAGGACTTCCAACTTAAGGTGCAGTAAGTAGAAAGTTCAGTCAAAACTGAATTAAGGTGACTTGAATGATCTGGAATGAAAATTCACTATATTTTAGAAGTAGGACCAACCAACGTAGTGCTTATGCAACATTTTAAAGCAATGTGGACAGCAGCAAGCCACAAAGACAACTTTCTGCCTACCTTTTCCACCTCCGACTTTGTGGCATTGATGTCGTTGTCTAACCTCTCAAAGATTATCTGGGACTTCTCGGCTTCTCTGCACTCTCGCTCAAACTTTTTCTTGCTCTGCCATATTCAAACAGGAAGAACAGGAACAGAAGCTTAGCTTGATATGAAACATGACCTGGTCACACATGCAACAATCATTCAGCGAGAGTGCTAATCTGCACGCACTAATCTGCTGATGTATAATGATCATGAACAGCGCTGCTACAAAGTTCGCAAACTCTCTAGAATTCTCGGAATTTCTGCATAATGGGCCCTTTTCACAGAGGGCCAAGATTACTTCCGGTTTCCGCGTTAACAGGGTAAAACTACCTTCCGCTCCACACAACTAACTTACTGCAGAAGTGATGACAAAAATGTTATAGTAGTGTACTATAATCCTCAAATACTGAGCTACAGCAGACATATGTTAGTTTTCGTACACTGTTGTTATGACAAACAGTGAGAACAGAAAGTGGATGGAAGCACTGATTTAACTTTAAACAGAGCTAAAACGTGTGCATCTGTATGTGTGGTGCAGCCCTGCTTACTGCTGCTGCAGCTGCCCTACATCAAGCAGTCTCTCTGTCTTTGTACAACATGCCAGCGATTTCTATAATATTTCGGTTTTGAAAAGAAAGAAGAACTTTTATATGTAGTATGAATTTGAAAGACGTTGTTTAGCTGTAGCTAGCTACGCTAAAGGCCATTGCTAACTGTAACTTAGCTGTATTCCTAAACAAGGGAGCTAGTTTTCATTAGCTGCTGGCACCAGCTGACTAACGTGGAGCAGGTTCTGTGACTCATTTACAGCAGCGAGTTCTCTAATATTATAAACGCAAACCAAAACTTTTATATGTGAAGTCTATTTTACAGACCTTGTTTAAACTCTCTTTTAGCTGAAGGTAGGCTAGCAGGCTACAGTCGCTAATTAGCTAGCCTACCATTAGCAGTTTAAGGAACACCAGCTTCATATGAGTAGCAAACCTTAAAGCTATCTGGCTAGCTATGTTAGCGATCTGCCAAACAGCATTATTCTTTTAGTTTAATGGCAATTTTTGAAGCAATACTTCGGATAATACCACCTTTCACTGCTCAATCAAAAACGCGACTACTAGCTAACTTGTAAGCCTGGTAATCTAGTTTGGGATAATAGCTACTGTTAGCAGTAGCTTCTAGCCAGTGTAGCTAGCTAGCTTAATATAAACCATTTGAGTCCATCAAATTCATGCTACATATAAAAGTTCTTATTTCTTTTGAAAACAGAAATTGCTGGCATGTTGTAGAAAGACACGGATACTGCTTGATGTGTTGCAGCTTCGGCAGAATGCAGTATAAACAAGGCTATCCCACACACACAGCATCTGTGACCCATTGTGACCTAAAATGTGGTCAGTTCTTCATCTAAGTCATACAAATAAACATAGCTCAAAAAAAATAAAAAAAAATAAAAAAAAACAACAACATGCAATTCTATACTTTTAATTCCTTTATTGAAATGATCCAACATCAAATCTCTTTCTAGGAAAAAAGAAAGTGAACCTATGATTTCATTTAACCTCTGTGAGCAGGAATGACTTCAACTAAACGTTTATTGTAAATATTGATCAGTCCTGCTGCCCTGGTCCCACAGCAGCACAACAGCCCAAATCAGGTTACTGCCACAACCATGTTTCATAGCTGGGGTGAGGTTCTTAAGGAGTGTGATACTTCTCATTCAAGCCAAAAAGATATTTTTGTAACTCATCCATCCAAAGCACATTCTTCCATGGCTTTCTCTTTGCTATCCTCTCATTCATACTGTTCCTGTCCGGTGTTTGCCTGATGGTAGACTTATGAACAATGTCATTAGCCAGTGCAAGAGAGGCCTGCAGATCTCTACCCTGGGCGTCTCTGCGCCATCTCCAAATTTCCTCCATCACCCTTCTTTTCCTGTCCTCCAGTGTCCTGAAGGTGGACAGTCCAAACTTTGTAAAAATTCCAGCCTGATGAGCATCAAAACCTCGTTTTCTGAAGACCAGATGTTGATAGTGAAGATGCAGGTTGATTTAATAAGGCACCCGAAGTCAAACCTGATTTTTATCCAACATATTGAACCTTCTGACTCAAATTAGCCCCTAGACTAAACTGATAATGCTAGAGGTTCACATAATTAGTCCACCATAATTATTTAGTATTGGATCAGTCCGTTCAATAAGTGAATGGAAAAGTCTGTACCTGTGTTTGTTATTTATTTTACTAGATTTTAATTCAAAGACAAAGATCTGAACATATTTTCTGAATTCTAAAGGGTTCACAAGGTCTCTCGCACCACTGTACCCATCAAACAGCTGGCATCACTTTTATAGAACAAACCAGACAGAATCCAATATAGTAGCAAACAAATCAGTGGGGCGAAAGAGCGAAAGTGGCAATTTGTTCTTTGGAGTTTGTCAGAACATCTGTGTTTAATTTTGTGACAGTGCACAAAGAGGAATACCTAAGGCATTACAGCATGGCCACTCTCGATGTGAGATTCAGCTGTTGCTGGCTAGTACTTGCACTAACCATAAAGCTGCAAAAACAATCCAGCTTCACTGTCTACAACACACACTGACTGCCTTGCTCTGTACAGTGTTACAGTCTGCTGTTTGTGTGTGGTAAAGGAAGTGTGTCTATATGTTGTGGAGGGGCCGGGGGGGGTTAGATTGGGTAGTATACATGAACTTATGCCAACAGCCTTCTGCTGTACCCTTCCTTGTTTCTTTTCATGCCCTCCTGCTCTCTCACTTTCCCTCTCAAACACAAACACACACACAGAGCGTGTGTGTGGATTTGAATATCTGGATGAGGGTGAGGGAGAGCAGGTCACAGCTGGAGAAAGGTTTGTGGATCGGTCATCCACACACACGCTCTGCCATTGTAGCTGAAACAGACGCAGACATGCATGCACACAGTCTAACAAATACTCACATTGTCCATTTGTTTCCAGCACTGTTCCAAATACTGCTGGGCTTTCCGTCCCTCCTGAAGGTGCTGTGAAACGGACAACACATTTTTAAAACACAGGCTCAAGAGCAGAGCTGGAGCAAAATACTGGTTTGCAGATGAATATTTATCATATCAGCAACAAAGCAGCACTACTTAAAAGGGCCCATTTTTCCTCTTTATTTTTCTTCTAATGTTCAGTTATATATCATGTACCAAAAACAGTCGTAATTTATACATGACCATTTTCAAAACTCTCTTTATCCCATGCAATTAAACAGACTATTTTTGTTACTGTGCCTTTAAGACAGATTTGCAAATGACCTCTGTTCTGACTGGCTGCCATGTATTATGCCTCATTTAATAACCAGGCTGAAACATTTCCTAACTTTAATGTGAACGGGAGAAGCTAAACTGACATATTCTGAATGGCTGGTATGTCAATTTGTTGGTTTTTGTGACATCACATGAAAATGGGCTGTTTTTGCAGCTTAGTTGCCATACGTGGACAAGACTGGAGAGTGAGCGGTATATTTTGAAACAGTTACACTACATCAAACTCTCATTTCATAAAAAATGCTTTTAAAAATCGTGTTTTCCATAAAAATTAGTTTTTCCATGACACAAGCCCTTTTACGGTGTGTTTATACATGTGAAACGGGCAAATACTTCTGATGTGAAGAAAACAGTTAATTTCCGAGGATGGCGCATTCTCATATGCTGGTCTTTTTAAAAAGACTACTATGCTGTAGTTACCACCTTATATTGTATCTCCTGGACAGAGTCTCCCAGAATCCTAGATCTGGTGCTTCTAGAATTTCGGGAAACTCTGCTTTGGTGCTACTATATATTTACAATATATTCAAAGATTTTTGCCATTTAGGTTTAAAAAAATGTAACAATTTCAAACTGGAAACTACTGGAGTCTTCAATTTTAGACAATATTAAATTATATCATTCAATATTATTGGTTATCAGAATTTTTAGCTCTTAAAAATCTGCATCCATTACAAACGTTTCATATTGGTCACATCCTAGTAAAAAGGCTTATGTTTTGCACTGTATGACAGAGATACTCACATGTTTTCTCTCTGCCTTCAAGTCCTGCGAGTATCTCATCAGCTCTCCATACACCCTGTGACCCATCTCCTCAGCAACGACCTCTCGCTGACCCGCATAGTCATTCAGCTCATTTAGTATGGCATAGAACGACAGGCATGACGTGAACCTGCAAAACAGAAACACACGTTCACTCAGACACTCAGCACTTTGGTCTTGATTTATTATAATAAAACCTTACATTCAAAAACAGTACTTTTAATCAGCATAGACTTCCTCATTTTCCCCAGGTATTCGAGCCAAGTAGTCTAAATGTCCAGTATACTGGACACTGAATATTATATATTTCCCAGTAAACAAAAAAATAATTCATACACTTATATTTAGCACGCAGCAGACGTAATGAAACATTCATAACAAAACATTTTTTGTTTTTGAAATGCTTAGTCTTGGGACTGAGTTGGTTAAAACAATGGTTCAGCCAAAATTCAGATTTATATTGCTGGGCTTTTTCCCTCTACTCCAAATGAAGGCAGCGTTTCTAAAGTTTGCTTTTTAGTTTTGCACTTAAAACTACACTTTATGACATGTTGTTATGTAAAAATGAACAAAAGTATGTCACTTAGCTAAAGACAGTAGCAGTAGATGTTTTTAAATGTTTTTAAACCAGACAACAGTATGTAATACTGTGCCAGTAATCACATAAGTTTGAGTTTGCTTAACAACTTGACATAGTTTGAGACAAGTATGTGATGAGCACACAGCTTGCATGATACTAACTGGCAGTAGCAAACCATAACAAGAGACAAGATGCCCTCATTTTGTGCCATAAAACCTCTACTAAAATGCTAGAGCACCACGGGATTCTAGCAGCATATTGGCACCAAGCTAATAGTGATTTATTTAACATTTTTTTTGCTGTTCTACACTGAACACAAACATTTGACATTTTTACAGTTTTACAGCAACACTTTCAGTAAAGAACTCTGGCACACAGCTGTTGCTGTCCTCCATTTCTAACAACTGACAAACACACTGTTAGCGAATAATCTGATGTGTTCGCCTTCAGTTTAGCTCCTTAAGTCCTAATCAATAGGAGAGCTCAGTTGGCATCTGTCAAATCCTAAAATCCTAATTGGACAATTTTAAGCCAAAACTTCACAATGAAATAAGAACACTACTACAATACTCACAGCAAGCATGATGATTCTATTAAACAAATATAAATTCAAAATCAGAAACGTATATTTTTATAAGTCATTAGGCCCAGAAGGCCCTGTAGAGCTCCAATGCATAACTAAAGAAGCAAACATCAAACATCAAGCATGTCTTGTCTGGTTGCCTAAATTTTGTGTGGTTTTAATTCCGTTAAAAGAAAGAGAGCACTTCTCAAGCTGCAGAAACTTAGGGTGGCTTTGCAATGCATTCATCAAAGCAGGAATGTTCACTAATGAGGAATCACAAATGATCACTAGCTTCATAAATGATCAAAAGGTGAACCCCTTAGGCCCTACCTCAGACTAGTGGCACAGACACCACTGTGCATTACTTCTTTTTTGTAATATGTGCTTTGGAGAACTGGAGATTGTTGATGTTGACTGATTGCCAAGCAGACAAGCTTGACCTGCTCACTTTATTAAACTACACACATGCACACACATTGCTGTCATGGACAGAGGACAACATCCTGACTGTCTCTTGACAGACATCCCCCCTTTTTGCTTGAATAGGAATTACCACCAAAAGCAAACAATCTCCCCTCCACTGTCCATTCAGCATATCCCCTCACTGTAACAGCACAGGATGGAATGTGCGAGGGACAGAAGTCCTCCATGTCAAATGATGCATATCTAATGGAATTCATTATAGGAAGAGGGAGTCTCCTGAACTGACGCCCAGCCGATACTCCCCGCTGTCTACATCAGCAGTATTATTATGACATTTGTACAGTAGGTACAACCTCACCAAAAGGCTTGGATGAGAGAAACAGACTAATATTGAGTCCCTTTATCTTATTACTGTTCATGGAAACTAGCTTTAAGAACTAGATTTTATTACCAATTTCAAGAAATCTTAGTAAGTAAAGCTTGTTTACCCCATTGGCAGAATGTTTGCTCAATATTACAGAACACTGTTTCTTTTTCACCATGAACAAGTGTGCTGGATTTATTTAAGCTATAAAATGTATTTTAAAAAATGGGCAAAATAAAGCATGTACTTTCAATGTTATGGGTGGGCTTATAAATGGCAACAAGTTATGAGTGCTGTGACAGCAGTAACAGAGCTAAAATGAGCTGCATTCCCTTGTTCATAACATTCCAAGTAAGACTCACCGGGGCTCATCGTCTTTGGATCGCTTAGGGCAGTATTTCTTCACCAGGTTCCTGTTGGATAACAAAAATATTTAAACACACACACACACACACACACACACACACACACACACACACACACACACAATGATTAAACAAATGGTTCAGAAATTACATTCCTGAACATAAACATTTTTAAAATCATATTCATTTCCATGTACAAGAACAAAAGAAGTCAGACTAAACAGTCTGTGTAGTTTACACATCAGAGAGCTAAACTAGGTCAAAGACAAGAGAGAAACCCAACACTATGTTAATTCCCTTCCCTTTGCCCCACTTCTTCCCCAAAACGCTATATTTACAGGCAGTGGGAACGGAGTAGTTCTCTGATAAATGAGAAGCAGCCTTGCTGTGTTTAGGCATGTTCCTCTCCTGAGGGACATACAGTGGGGGTTGGAGTTTGTATGGTACTAAATGAGTTCTCCTCCCCCCACACAGACACCCACTGAGCTGGGCTAATGATGCCTACCACTTCCCTTAAACGTGCTTCCTCTAATTCACTAATAAAAGCAGCTCAGACTGATCACTTCCCTGTGTGATTAATATATAGAGCAGGATCACAGGAAAAACTGCACACCAGTACCTGTGTCAGCAGAGTCACGGCAGTTTCTCATCATGTTTCTTATTAAAGTATACACAGAACAGCCACTTCATTAAGCACAGCTCCTCGTATCTACACTCTACACAATCTACAGTCTTAATCGTAGAACTACAAAGTGCACCTATTTTGTAAGTGGAGCTGATAAAATGGACAATGGTATAAATAGCCATACAGCCATAAAATGGTGAGGTGGTGAGCGGCAAGACATGTAAATATACACGTCTAACTGACGCATCAAACCACTGACGCATACCCTGAATTCTCTATTCTCTCTCCTTCTGGATAAACTTTATGAAAATGAAATGAGTGTCCAATCAGATAGTTGATGTGTGGCACGGTAACCAATTGTGGCACACTCATAGTCACATACTGAGATTCAACACTCGAACGAACACTGAGCAGGAGATAAAACAGTTGATAAAAAGCAAATGTATTCAAAGCATGGGACGTTTTCATGGGACGTTAAAAAAAATAATTAGGCTGCTGTGGGGCACAGAAATGGTCTACAGCAATACACACACTTTCCCTCTTTGCATCAACCTGCTTGTGTTTTAACAACACGCCCCTAAAACGTCCATGCTGGCGAGAGAAGTGATTTGGCTCGCTTCAATGAAAATACATTATTGATTTAAGTTGAACGGCTACTGCAGATTTTGAAATTTATGAATAAAATATAAAAATAAAAACTCTAAAACCAGCACAGATAGGTCTTTACTGCGATCAAGGTCAGATATTGTTATTATTTTTAGCAACTGCAGTTTAACAGTCCTGAAATCTGGAGGTACTGTTGCATCCTCAGTAGCCCCACTCCCCAGGTCCCTGATTAAATGTGATTATTTTAATAAGATTCATATTTTCTGCATAAATTGGAAATCATACTGCATTTACCTGCCAAACCATCATGCATTTCTGAGTGAAACACATGTTTCTCTCAACGACAGGTGGGAAAGGTGGGAGGTGAAACATTATTGGTTAATATTTTTTCATTTTTGCTGGTGCACTATGACATTAAATGACACACTACGACTCATGTTTTCAAGGCAGGCAAGTCACTACACTTTGATCAAAGATTATGGGAAAACAAGAATGGTGTCTTTTAAATATGATATAATGAACTGTGTAATGAATAACTGTACATAATGAAATACATAAAAAGAGGTCAATTTTAATTCCAAATACTGTGACTCTAAATTAAAGTTCAAAATAGCGTAAGAATTTCATTTTTGCCAAAAAAAGGACACAGCCTTACTAAATATTATTATAATAAATAACCACCCAAAACTGACGATCAGATCAATGTATCATCACACATCAATGCATTTAGCTACCACCTGTACGAACACATTTGTAATCTTAGTGTAATTTGAAAGCTCCACATAATAAACCGTATCTGGAAGACGAAACCCAGAAAACAATTAACGCTCTACTTAACATGACTGTAGCCTTCACTACTGCAATGTTTGTTCTAATGAAGTGTAAACCTCTATCAAGGACAAATAAACACTCATTCTCGTTATGAATGCTATTAGTCTCAGTGTTTCCCCATCATGCAAATTCTCCCAAATAAACAACCTTGAGTCCACTATCATTCACTGTCCCTCAAAGGGGTACGGCATGGTGTCATTTCAGGCGTAGTGGTCAGTTTGTGTCATGCAGAGGCTTGTCAGACACCTCTTGTGTGTTGTGGTGCTACAACACAACCATCATAGAGATTACAAGGGGTGAAGCGGGACTCCACTGCTGTATCCAGGCAACAGCGTAGCACGCAGAGGGAGCGCAGGGAGGCCCGGCTTACTTGGCGGTGGGGTTAGTGGAGAGGAGAAAGAGAGGAGAGGGGAGGCCACAGCTGCTGCTCAGCTCATGTCCTGAAGCAGATTTATGGCATGTGGCCGATTCTCAGTTTGATTTTTCATCACATTCACAATTCCCTCCCTCCAAGGGAAAATGCTCAATGGGCTTTTAGCATTTTGAAGCACCTTATGGTATTAGAGTATGCTATAGAGTGAATCAATACTATGGTTTGAACAGCATGGTAACTGCTTCAGGCAGACCATTCTGACTGAATTACATGTATAAACCATTAGAAATATACTCAAGTTAGGAATATAATTTCTGCATTGTGGTATGTGACTCTCATTCATGAAAATAACAGGTTAAATTAAACAAATAAAATAAATGCATGGTCTGATTACAGTGTTTTTTTCTTTGCATGTTAACTGCTTTTTTGGCCTCAAGCAAAAAATGCTTTATTAAACATTAAGTTGACCTACAAACTGCAGTGTGCTGAATACGTGCCAGACAGATTTGTAGGAGAGAAACACCCGTTACATGGTGACCTGAAGGAAAGTGGCTAACTGCCACTTTAAATCTTTGGCTGCAGTGCTGATTTGGGAGCCCTTAAAATACATTTTTGAAGGCAAATACCAACAACAAGAGAAGTGGAATTTAAAACGAGGCTGCTGTGCTAGACAAGAACAGAAACATTGACATTATAAATATTAATGAACTGATTCCAGTCAAAATAGCCATACAAGTTACTCATTTTTAGCATCAGGAAAATAGCAGAAAACAGATATTAAAAAATGCCTAAAAGCCTCAACAACATACATATATACACACACATATGCACACACACACACACTTCTGCAGTATTTAGTGTGTTCACTCTTCACTCTTTGCCTTTATTAAAGCTTCCACTCTTTTTGGGAGACTTGCTTTCAGCTTTTCAAAGCTATTTACAGGGATATTTTTCCACACTTCTAAAGTTCAGTCTTAGAAGTTGGTTGCACTTTCTGCTTCTCATGATTCAAGTAATCCCAAATACATTCATTGATGACTTCTGGGTTCTGGGCTGGTCAGTCTACTGTTCTGAGAACACCAACAGTTCTTTTTTTGTCCACTTCCTTTTCTCAGCTTCTTGACGCATCCTTTCTGATACATAGTGTTGAGTCGTCACAGGGTGGAAGGATGGACAGAAACACCTGTGCTTTTTTTAGATCTGAAGCAAGAGTGGAGCTTGATTTTCTCCTCTCTCTCTCAAAGACGAAAAACAAAGTACTGTTTATCTGACTGTGACAGTTTTGGTGGTCTACCTGGTCTTGCACAGTAGTTAGGAGTCCCAGTTTTACTGTTTATATGTCCCTTTTAACATTTTTTTGAACTGCAGTTTGGGAAACTCTTGTTTTTTCACTTTCTTCTTTGAGCTTTCCCTTCCTTACGCAAGTGGAATTCTTTTTATTAAATCTCCCCAGAAATATCTACTGAGACATAAGTAACTTATACGTTACGACTGTTTTGACTGGAAATCAAGTAACTGAAGGGTGGTCTCTGTTTTTGCACAGTACTATAGTTTTTAAAACTGCACTAAATCTCTGACATGCTTAAAATACGTTTTCAACAATAAATATTTAATGAAGGTTTTGCCTTCAATTAATTTGAGTTTGTAAACTTGAGTGAATTAAAAGATCAGGAATCCATCGTCCCTGTACTGATTTATTCAAACGTTAGATAGGAAGAGTGCATGGGCACACACAAGGTAGCCAGTGTGTGTGTGTGTGTGTGTGTGTGTGTGTGTGTGTGTGTGTGTGTGTGTGTAGCGATTATTATTAGAAGACTCACCGCAGCTGTTTTGCATAGGTTTGCTCGATCTCCAGCCGCTCTTTCACAAACTTTGCATAGCGCTCCAGGAAGTCGATGCCCCATTGTGTGTGCTTGTCGAGGTTTTCAAACTGGTCCTATGGGAGGAAGTGAGAGAACACAGAGGAGCATTGAGAGGTGAAGGAGCCTTCACTGGCACTTCTCTGTTTGTGTAAGGCAGGATATATGAATATGTAATGGTCTGTTTGAAGAATACTCATGATTTTGTTGGACAACCACAGACGTGAATCACTGCTGAACAAACTAGAAAACTGCCATTTCAGAATACATTTCAAAGGAAATTGCATGTAACATCAACACTTAGGGATGTAAATCCTTGACCTCAATGATTCGATTTGTCAAAGATTCTGTAGGAAACAACGTATTGTTTGAAGTGTCCTCACTATTTTAAAATAGATATATGCTTTTTTTGGTACTATTCACAATTATTTTACAAAATACTTATCAATGTGGACAGACTATCTTTTTAGACAGTAGCAGAAAACAGAATTCACCAAGCTGTTTTTGGAAGTTTTGAACGCTTTTGTTATTTTTGAAAATAGCCTGAGAGTTTTATTTTGGTCAAAAAAATTCCATATATTTCATTTAATATTATAATAAATCAATAATAATTCATTCTAACATTCCAAAATCAATACGGTTGAATCCCTCAGTATCAGATAATATTTTACACCACTGCTAAGAATATTAGATATGTTTATCTGGTAACACTTCACTGTAGGGTGCTGTTAATAAGGCTATAAGACACATACATAAGTTTGTCATGACAACTGACAAAACCGTACATAAATGTTTATAAATGCTGATTCCAATAGGCATACTTTGCTATAAAAGGTTACATTTGCCAGTTTTGACCAAAGATTAGCTAAAGTAGCCTTTATGACAGATGACGCCTATTGGAATAAGCCTTTATAAACATTTATGTTGGATTATGTCAGTTGTCATGACAAGCTTATGTAGGTGTCATGTAGCCTTATGAACAACACCTTACAGTAAAGTGTTACCATTTATCCTAACTATTTGTGGGTCAGCTCGAATGTTTGACATTACTCTATAACAAATGCCAGTGCTGTTTTGTATATGTGTTTGGGTAGGCATTTATAGAATATGAATATGTTCTTAAGTGCCAACCTACATGCTCTTATATGGTATTACTTATCCTTGGCAAGCACACATGCAACTATGATATTACTCTGTCCACAAAATGGCTGCCTGATGCCAACTTGGTCTAAGCACCAGGCAAGTATTATATCACCTTATTCACAACCAACTCACAGGACTCTGATACAACACTATGCCTGAAATAAACATTTATGTGATGGGCCTGCTTCCGCCTCGCTATGGAATAGCCTAGACACTGTCTGCATCGTTATAATCTATTTATGGTAAAGCTTTCAAGTGCAGACAGACAGAGAGAGCAGGACAGACAACAGAAAGACAGAGAAAGAGAGACACAGTACAGAGACAGAGATAGGGAGGGAGAGAGAGATAGAGAGAGAGAGAGAGAGAGACAGAGAGAGACAGAGAGAGACAGAGACACTCTTTGACTGGAAACCTGTCTGTTTAAACCGAGGGGGATTAAAAGAAGCCACAGGCTGCAGAGCTCTGGCCTCTGTCCAGCCCGGGGCAGTCAGACTGGGTTTCATGATGAGACTGAGGGGAGGAGGTGGGTACAGAGAGAAACAAAAGGACGAAAGAACCAGCGAACAAATGAAAGAGAGGGAGGAGGAAAAAGAGAAAGAGAAAGCAGACTGAAACCCTAAGGCAGCATATTCATAAGTGCAAGCTAGTATTCCCTCAGACAATTTCCCCAGACGTGAGGCGATGAGGCGAGGAGAAAAGGGGAGAGAGAGAGGTAAAGGAAGCTCCCTGTGTACTCTGGGAGTGTGTTCTCTGGCTGTGCAGCTCTGGCACTGTTTCTGTGGGACACACTGAGGTGAAACAGCTCCAGCAGATTTCCTCACAGAGAACAATAGACAGCCTCTCCTCATGTGCAGCATGGATCACAACAACTGAAGCCTCAACGCCACAAACAACACACGTCCACAAATAATTCAGGCTCATCTTGGTCACTACAGCCACTTTAAAGTAGGGAGCGGAAAACTCGCGTCACAATACGCTTTTCTGAGCACATCATGAGTTTTGCTAGCACTTCTAGAACACTGAACAAATGTATCCATCATCTAAAGACTTTATACTAATTATAGAGAGCCTGTAAACAAAAATCAGTGTATAGCAACGTGCAGCCAGCTTATTTTGCCATTATCCTAACTAATGCAATTTTACTAACTGATTGATTTTTCCCTCAGCTTCTTCTTAAACGCTTAAATGCTAAAAGGACTTTCTTAAAATGTAACACTACTATTTTGCTGTCAAATTTAGTCCAACCCAAATTGTTTTGCCTCAACAAGCAAATTTGATTATCATGATTATTATACAAGTTATTTTTCTGTCAAATCATCCTGTCTGTACTTTGAAGCACAACAAAATAAAGATGCATGAAAATTAGGGATACAGAATGATCAGAATCATAAGTGTATAGGCATATATTTGCTTAAAACAAATATCAGCTTCAGTCAGATTCGACTGATATATTTCAAGCTGCTTTTGTATGAATCACTGAAAGAGAGGAAACCCACACCAGCAGGATCTCATGAATGTGCATGTTTGCAGCTACAAATTTAATGTATTTGATTAATCCTCAAAAGAACTGCTAGATTTGATTACAAATATAATCGATAGTGAAATTATTTATTTACTTTACTCCAGAAGAGCAGAACGTTTCAGAGACACTGGGCTACTGTGCTAAAATGACTGCATCTTATTCATTTTACTGCATTTGTAACCCTTTATTGTAACACTTTATAAAATGTTTACAAAATGTATGTCTGCATACAGGCTACACACTAAACATTTTCACAAGAATGACATATCAACAGGCTTCAGTGAACACTGACCTGTCATTTTCATATGACAGATCAGACAGGGTCAATAGAAAAGTGAAAAATTGTTTAAGGCTGTCTGTCAAACACGCTTAATTTGCCTGAGAAGAACTTGCAGGTTGATAATGCTGACACCCTGCACATGTAGGCATTTCGGACCTGGGAGAAAAGGCAGCAGAAGGAGCACTGGGACTAGAGAGAAAGACGAAAAGGGACTAAGGGACTAAGGGACTCTTCTCATCATTGTTTTCAGAGAAGGCCTTCGTGTTAGTTAAGCGCTACTCAGGTGTTAAAAGCCAGTATCAAAGAGGGGATCATTTGCTTTAGTCATGCCGGAGTCGAGCTAGCAGCTGAGAATGACTGATCGGAATCATTAAATAGAGGTTTGAACCCCGATTTAAATTCCAGTAAGAGATCTCTGCAGAAAATCAGGACCAGCCCTGTGCCAGGAGGACAAATACAGACTTGAGAGCAGGAGCATGTCTGAAAGGAAGCAGGCAGTGAACAAACACAAAACACAGCTTGACTCTGCCGCAGTTTTGCCAAGGGCGGACGGGGGACTTTATTCTGGGCTGGTGATGCTCAGAGCAAGCTAGCACGTATGCGTCAGTGTGTTGCAAAGATGAAGGCACTGCACTCGGCTTTGTGTGTGTGAGAGTCTGAGTTAGAGGGAGCGAGAGAGAACGTGTGTGTCTTTTTACAGACGGCCTGTATTATTCTCAGTCCAGTAGGCAGTCGGTGCTAGCCCCTGCAGCTATGGTGGCTGAAGGAAATCACTTTAGCAGCAGACTGGTGCTTCACCCGAGTGGAAAAACAGCTCTCCCACGGCCATCTGCGGCGATTTAACTATCATTTAACTCGAGTGTATATATGCACGCGCACACACACACACACACACACACACACACACACACACACACCATAACTGACACTCATGAGCTTAGAACATTGCGTCACTCAGTCAACACGAGCCGTATCACTAAGACCTGTGACTGCTCCACCCAGCAATACACCTGCTTACACATTCCTGACTCACAACGATTATAGTTCAGTGCTGACTGAAGACCAGCTTGCTCTTCCAAAACCTGAACCTTCCTCATCAGAAAAGCAACAATGAAACTGGTCTGAGGTCAGTTGAAAGTTAAAACAGCAGTCTAATTTGTGTCACAAAATGGCTGAGTCTTAATGCCTAAGGACCAGAATGAGGTCAAAGTGTTTCCTGGTTCAGGTGTGGCAAAACAATAGGAGCAGCCACACAGCTAACCAACCATTCAACTACAAATCTTTCAAAAAACAAAACATCAACTAAAGAACCATATTTGAAAAACCTTTTAAAGTTTAGTCCTCACATATGGTTAAGGTCCATGAAAAAAATGTTCTTATACACTGTATACCTTTGTATAACAAAAGTTCTTTAAAAGACAGAACTCTCAACCTGACACCTGAGAGTGAACAGTTGAGTGGATACTGCATTAAATCGTTACAACATCAAGTTTAAGCAAGTAATTGTGACAGCCATAATAGGTAGAGAATGTTATTAAAATATAGAGAATGTTATTAAAATATATCTAACTATATGGTATTAAAGCACCACAGTTCCTGACAGTTTGGTATTCTCCTTGCTTTGAGCTGAACTGAATTAATACTGAAGTGATGCAGAACTCCAGGAACACACTTTGCTTTACAGACAACCAGGTGTAGAACACAAGATCCATTGAAAGAAAGCCAAAGTTTGACAAGGAAAGAGGACTTAGAGATGAGGTCAATTCCAACGCACTGTAGAGCTGAAATACAGAAGAAAAAAAAACTAAAGTACTGTAAAAGTGCTGGACTGACGGTGAAAGACTACCTCGTACAGCAAACAATGCTGATTGGGCATGCTCCCCCAGTAAAAAGAGGATCCTGTAGCTGTAATCTCTCACTGTAGCCCATCCATGGTGAGGCCTCTTCCCGCCAAGTGAAAATCAGAACCACATTCTCTTTAACTGACATACAAGTTTCTTGACACTTAGAGGCTCATAAAGTACGAGACAACCACAGTCGTGAAAATGCATTGAAAGCTACTTCATTAGCAAACCAACAAATTGGCCTAGCCTGTATGGAAATGCATATTATGTCTCCCGTATTAAAGCACA